CAAAAATGTGGACTGTCTGACAGGGAGCTGGGAGGGAGCAAAAATGTGGACTGTCTGCCGGGGAGCTGAGAGGGAGCAAATATGTGCACTGTCTGGGAGGGAGCAAAAACCTGGGCTGTCTTGGGGTCCCTGAGAACCAGGTTGGGAAACACTGGTGTAAGACAGGGGTGCCAAAATTTTCACATGTGGCTTGGCAAGAAAATGTTTATCTTATGCTAATTGGTCACCTGTAATTAAATCACATTATTTAAATCACAAGTACACAAATGCAGAAGCATTACATATACAGGTACACTGTAAAGTCTGTTCTGTTCTTTTTGTTTTTTGGAAATGTGAATGTACCACTATTGATGAAATTATTCAAATATAATGTGTTTTTATTATTCCATTTCTTAATGAACATTTAAGAGATTAAATGATGAACCCATTTTGTATGTAAATTTTTTAAGAAAAAGTGTGTAAGTATTGATTAACTAACTTTTGGTATTATTCACTGAAGAGCCAAAATTTTGTTTTTTTGTAAAAGAAACAGGTATTCTTTGATTTTACAGTAATTTGATTACGAGTGAACAATTTACAGGGAGCCCTTAATTACAGTGTCGAGTTAAATTTGCAATATAATTACTATCTTAACGTTCAGTAAATGTTTGTTTATTAACTGTTGGGATTAAAACCAGTAACACTAACACTCTTCATGGTCAGCAGAATGGATGTCTGAGGAAATTTTCCAATGGTGCTGACTTGTCCCTGCAGATATGTGTTTTTACACATAGATATTCAGAAAGTCCTTTTTCATTTGCATGTGTAGGAAGTTCAAGTGAAAATTCCTCACCAGAATACACAAGGAAAGAGTATGGTGAGTTATAACACGTGATATACATTCATTTTGATAATAATGAACATGTGCTGATGAAGGCAGATTAGTATTTCTTTATTCATACATTCTTTTTCATAAGTGAGCATTGGCTGAAATAGCCTCTGGTAGGCAGATTGGTTTCATTATTTTGCTGTTTACGAATGGTAATGATTTTTTTTGTAATCAAGGATGCACATAACTGGTACGCAACTATCCATTTGCCATATGAGTGATACGTGAGGCGATATCTTTTCATACCAGTGCAATTGCGTAGTTGTTTTATTTTATTTAAGGTTTATACCGCAAACAAAGTATGCATTAGCTGTGCAGAGGTTAAAATTTGCGGAAATTTCTTGACATAATTTATGGGCATTTGTGGTGTTACAAAAAGAAATTGCTGTGCGTATTGCATTATATGTCGTATTCGTACTTGCATACAAGTTATGTGAATCCCTATTTATAACGGCAAATTGGGACAAAGTTTTGTTTTGTTTTAATGTCATAGCAATTCGCAATTCTCTGTTTCAGCTTCTGCTAGTGCAGCCACAAGAGGGAGGAGTCATAGCAGAGGTAGCTATTCACCATTGTTATGGAAAACCGTGTCCATCCACGATACGTCTCATAAATAGTCTGATAAAACCCGGCCTTTGTGTTTTAAATCCTCTGTCATCACCGCCCCCCCCCCCCCCCCCCCCCCCCCCCCCCCCCCCCCCCCCCGCCAGAGAGTGAAATCAGAGCGAGACTGCAGAGCGCCTCTCCCTCCACCAGATGTAAGTTATCAATCGAAGGTACAGTTTATGTAGTATTGCTGGGCTGTTTGTAAGGTGTACGGGACAAAACACGTTTCCACCATCCTAACGGAGACCAGTGCAGTAATAAGTGGTGAGATATGTACAGGTGAAGAAGCACCCATTTTTAGATACTGAAGTAGCCATTTATAATTAAATGTTACTCAAGTTAAAGTTACGTAAAGTTACGTAAAGTTACGTAAAGTTGCGTAAAAGTTACGTAAATTACCCATATCATGTTCAGTCCAAGTGAGAAAACACTTGTGTTTTCTGAGTGTGACCAAAAATAAAAAAACTGCAGGGGGCTTGACACTGACGCTGAGCCTGTGTTTCAGGGACAGAGCTGGACGACGTGAAGAGGTTGCTGAAAGGCAGCCGGTCCAGCAGCAGCAGTCCTCCCCGGTCCCCCTCCAACACCCTCCCCATCCCAAAGAAGGCCTCTGTGGACCCGCGATCGGGTACGGGCACGATGAGAAACATCAACTGCAGAAAACCCACATGTCCCAGTGGGAGGCCCGTCGGCACTGTTTACCACCACTCACACCAAGCGGTTGCATGGGGCCCCCAAGGCCCCCTGTTGGCCACAAACAGTCACTACACTAAACATCAGATAAAAGCGCTGCTTTTTAGGAGATGCTGAAGCAGCATGTTCTGCTAACCAGCTAGTTAGCTGCAATGTTCTGACTCTGCTCACTAACTTTTATGCAGTTTTTTAAATATCTGAGGTGGGGGGAGGGACGAGGGGCAAGTGAGTTTTTGAGTGGGGCCCTAGAAATAACACACCTGCCCCTGGGGAGGCCTAGTGACCTTCCAGATGTAGCCGGCGGAAGGGTTATGGGTGAAACATCAAGTTTTCAAGTTTTATTGTCAAGTGTATTTGGAGGAACACAAAACTCTTATGCGACAGTTGCAGATGGGGGGGTGGGGGGGCAGGTGCATGGTGCAAACAGCAGCATAATACAAGACAAATAGCAGCTCAATACAGGACAAACAGCAGCACAATAACAGACAAACAGCAGCACAATAACAGACAAACAGCAGCACAATAACAGACAAACAGCAGCACAATAACAGACAAACAGCAGTGCAATACAGGATGAGGTGGAAATTTCAGGTCCAGAAAGTAAAAATCCAGACCAAAATTTAGATTCAACCAACCAGTTGAGTACTCCGTACCTCTGAGTACTCTGTATGGTCCATGACCGTGACTCTTTATGCTCAGTCTGCAGCTGAGGCGGTCGTTTGTACGTCCCGTGCTGCTGCCTGTTGTTTCCCAATAAGCGCTGAGATGCTGACCACGTCTCTGAAGGGGATGGACACAGGATGTCGCCTCTCTCGTCTTTTCTTACTGTCGCCCCCTTGCTTTTCCAGGGCAGTATGAGAGCGGCACCCTGGACTCCAGCCAGGCCTCCTACACTTGGGCCAACTCCACGCTGCCCCCAAGCACCTCGGTGCTCAGTGGGTACGGCTACCAGACCAACCCCAACAACCTGTCCCTGGGCACCTCACTGGTCCACGGCTCCTCTCCCTCCGCTCTCTCAGGTCAGGTTTCTTTCCTTCACAGGGCATGAAGGACACTTCAGGAAGCTCTCATCTGTGGATGTGCTTCCATACTGACCATTTTGTTATCATCTTCACAGTTCAAGGGGTCCAGAACAATCTGAGCTTGGGTCCTGCCATGATGAATGGTGGCATCACCGGCAGCACAGGTATACTGCAATTTTAATGGGCCTCAGGCTGTTAGCACTCTGGTAGCATCATCTCATAGATGACCTTCCTTAGGAGGCCACTTTAATTGGTAGAAAGCTCAGTCATCATTTGATGCTCATTTGCACAAAAATGTTCTGAAGGCAGAAGGGAAATTGATAGGTTTATAGAGATAACCAATAAGATTGTAGAGGAGGCGGGACCAACCAATCAGATGTCTTCGTCCTGCCTCCTCTATAATCTGATTGGTTATCTCTCTGAACCAGTCATTTTTCCTTCTGCCCTCAGAATATTTTTGTGTAAGTAAAACTCCCACATGCCCATTTCATTAGTCTGTTTCTCTGAAATTGTATTTAGAGTAGTGCATCCATGTTATGTTACAACAGTTATCGCCAAACTATTAGTTTATTGTCTATAAAGTAATACTACTTCATACATTTCTCTTTTCTTAGTTAATGGCCTTCCAAATAACATTTCCTCCACCTCAGGGACTGTTGTTGCCTCAAATGGACTCAGCACTCAAGCAGGTATGTGGTGTAATTGCTCCTCATAGACAGGAGATGACAGTGCTTTGATGAGCTCACGCGGCACTGAATCAAATACTTAGTTCATCTGAAATACAATCAATATTCCAGAAACATCCAGCTTAGAAGTTCTGCGATACGTGACCAGCATCATATGGCCTGATTTCCTTTTGATGATGCTTAGCTAAATGGGTGGGTAATTTAGGTGGGAGGTGTGAAAAAATAATTAATGCAATGGCATGATATTACAAAACACCACCTGTTACATTTCTCAGAAGTGTAGAGCTCCTTTTTCATGTTTGCCACAAAACATGTATTTTTTTAGTGCAGTTACTTGTAGCAGTTGTCTCATTGCCATAAACCTTGACACTTTTACATTTTTTTGTATATATTTTTGTGCTTTAACTGCTACATATTTCTGGTATATTTTGGGAATACTGAGCTGTTTTTGTGTGTTGAATCTGTTCAGGAGACTCCATTTTGCATGTGTTGGCTGACATAGTGCCTGATCCTGAGCACTTTATGTCATGGGGGGGGACCTCTGTGTCTCCGCCCCAGGAAGGGCAGCTATGACTCTGTGTGTCTCTGCCCTGCAGTGTATGGAGTGCAGAAGAACGTGTCACAAACCGTAAATGGCTCCATCAGCACTGGAGTGGCCAGTCCCACAGGTGTGACACGCTAAGATTTACCTGTAGAAAGAATGTTCAGTCAATTTATCCTCTATTAACTTATATTAACAAGTAGTATTCAGCTTATATGTTAGCTCATTAGTTGTATCTGGATGTAAGAGTTATAACAGTCAGTTTATGCTCAGCGGTTTTTGTATCTTAAGGCAAAAAAACTGAGTAAACACTACTATCTGTACTGTTCTTTGAAGCAAGTTCCTCAGCAGTCAATGTTGGTTCTCTAGTGGCCCCCAGCATCCCCCAGAACGACGACGTCTTCCTGAAGGACTACAAGTTCCTGTTGCTGGAGAAGGAGAATGGTCCATCCAAGAAGGAAGCGGAGCTCCTCGTCATGAGCAAGAACAGTGGGAAGCAGTTCACCGGCACCACGAAGAGTGCTGGAGGTGGTGCGGTCCGTCTCCAAGGCGATATCACACATCGCAGTGGTCCGTCTCCAAGGCGATATCACACATCGCAGTGGTCCGTCTCCAAGGCGATATCACACATCGCAGTGGTCCGTCTCCAAGGCGTTCTCACATATTGCAGTGGTCCATCTCCAAGGCGTTCTCACACATCGTAGTGCTCTGTCTCCAAGGCGATATCACACATCGCAGTGGTCCGTCTCCAAGGCGTTATCACACATCGCAGTGGTCCGTCTCCAAGGCATTCTCACACATCGCAGTGGTCTGTCTCCAAGGCGTTATCACACATTGCAGTGGTCCATCTCCAAGGTGTTATCACACATTGCAGCACCCTTTCTGAAGCATTCAGTCTTATAGCCCAGTCTACATTACATTAATTATTTGGATATGATTTTATTTCAGATATTCATTGAAAAATTATTGATAGACTAACTTCAGACATGTAATCCTTCTCCTTCCCTTGCTTATATCATAATCATAGATTAAGCAAATCGTATAGGGTCTTGCTGTAGACAATATATAGTTCTTTCTCAAAAATGTCTTGAGATCACAGGGTCATAGACCAAGAAAGGTACAATCTGTAGTCAGGGTGTATAGGTTTCTGTGAGTTTGGTGCTTGTATTGCTTTTGTTACAATTATACCCAAGGATTCATGTGCATGCTGCTTTATGGAGCATTATGAACAGATATTCCAAAAGCTCCAACAACTACCTGTGTGTTTTACAGGCTCTTACTCAGATGACTCACTGAAGAGGGAAAAGATGATCGTCTCCTCTGAAGCTGCCACACTGGGGGCAGACAGTTATGGTGAGACCCTCGCCAAGTTTTCATGCACAGAAAATGTAGGAAATATGGCATGTGACATCATGGTTAAACTGGTGGAGTTTACTTGGCTATTATCATAATTATGGATTACAAATTAATATAATTATATGAATCATATATAGACTTGTGTAATACATGCCTTGGAGATATTTGGGTACAACTGTGTATTTATCAGAATATGTGTTTTTATTGCTGTTTCATTGATTTGCATTTTCTGTAGCAGGATCTTCAAAGGTCGCCATGAAACACAAGGCCACATATGCAGGTATGAACTTGTTTCGTCTTAAAACTATTAAACTCTTCTGACAGCCAGTTGAATTCAAGTAGCTACCTGAAAATGACACAAATGTGGCATTTAACATGACAGTAATTGGCATGGCCTGTTGGCAGAGATCCAAAAGAAAGACAGCCGAGGGGGTGCCGGGGCCTGGTGTGGGGGAGGGGCCTGCTGTACGTGGTGGAAGTGGCTGCTGGGATTGTTGCTCCTCCTCCTGCTGCTCCTTGGCCTCCTCTGTTGGCTTATTGCCCTGGGTAAGACCAACCTTAAACCAAGTAACTAGTGACAACTAGTACACCAGCAGACAGGGCTGCCAGTTCCAAGGTTAGCTTCCTGTTTGCTGTTCTTGTAGCTTCTCCTGTAGAAGCAGTCCTTAACAAGGAACAGTTCTAGATATAGAGGAACATGGGAAAACAGTGACAGAGGAGCATGTGTTATTTCATAAGTAACATTATAAAATCATATGTTTCTTATGGTATTGCTAAAGTTTCTCATGGGCGTAAATTGAGGGGATGAGGGGTTGTAACCCCTGCAATAATCAAAGTTAGCCAATACAACCCCCCCCCCCCCTCAAATAAGGATGAACTCCCACAAAGTTACGCCCTTGAGGTCTCTGTATTCAAGCATCATTACAAAGGAAGGAGATAAGATGCTGTTGTTTCTTCTGCCGCTCAACTTCTTCTCCTGCTCTTCCCTACAGCTGAAGAGGTGAGGGGTCTGAAGGCTCGAGTGGTTGCCCTGGAAGGGGGCAGCACCTCGTCCCGGACGAGCCGCCTCTCGTCCGCCGTTAACATCGTGGACCCCCTGGATTCCTCCTACGTGGGCCAGACCGCACAGGCCAGGACTGATAATACCATCAACCAGGAATCAGCTGTCAACGTGGACCCCGCATCTCTACAGAGGACAGTACAGCAGCTGCTGAGAGCAGAGCTGCAGTCTGAGTCTGTCAGAGGTACCGGACAGTGCAAGCCAGTGCTGTAAGAACAGAAACATACATTAGTGGCCAAAATTGTGGAATCACTTCCAGTACTTAGAGATTGCATAACTTCATTCCAGATACTCCAGTTACTTTTCAAATCATCCACTGTATGATATTTGTAACATTCTTTGATTGTTTATAAACAGTACCGCCAATATTCATGTAGTGATCTCTAAAGTGTAATGCCAAAAATGCTAGGTGTTTCCACAATTTTGGCTGCTAGTGTATATATACACAGCATCACTGACAATGCAGGGTAGCCAGAACTGTAGTTGTAAGGTAATCAATGCAGCACCAGCATGTTTTCTGCTGTCTCAGTCAATGATTCATTCTGCCACTGTATCCACCATAGCCACATTTGCTACGGTCAAAGGAGAAAAAGGAGATCCAGGAGCCAAAGGTAACTAAAATCTCTTGTCCTACTAAATTCAGCATTTCAGTGTTGTTTACTGGAATGTCTCTCTGGTATCCCTGGAATTATTTGCTTTCGCTTTCATAATATGAATGATTAATTTTTAACTGTCAAATATTGTGTAGATGTGTATGCATCTTTTAGAGTAAGTACATAATGATTACAATATGCATACTGAATATGTAAATGGTTGAAGCATATGCGGAGGTGCAGTAAATTGTACTGTTCATTTTCCTGTTGAACAACAGTGGTTATATGTTATCCGTAAAATATTTCTCAGAGCAGAGTGAACGTCTCATGTGAATGTAAGACAGTGTCCTTAGAAAACACTGGCCATGAAAAAATTAATTGCTGAAGTGAATTGCCTTTAACTAACAGCCTCCAGGTAGCACTAATATATGCAGTAGTGTGTTATTCATCCTAACGAGCCTCTGATACCGGCCGTTTTTAAGATGCTCCAGTCGGTGATTTACCATACAAGTAGGCTTCAGTCTTCAGGGGTCTTTTCGGGACAGAAGAATAAAAGACTTTGACACCATTACTGTGAAATGGGTTATAAGCTACTTACACTGCAAACATAAATGTTGCCTTTTGATAAATGCATTTTGTTTTTATCCATTCTTTTAATATTTTTTATTATTATTATTTTAAGGTGATCAGGGATATCCTGGACTCAAAGGTCAGTGAATCAAAACCTTTACTTAAGCACCTGCAACTATGTTTCGTTCAATGTTCGATGCAAGACAATTACGTGCCTCAAACACACAGTGCTGCAGGAGATTGGTGCCACTACATTGCAGCATGCACATGAACCCTTGGGTATAACTCTAACAAATGTAATGCTTTTATTTTGACGTATCGTCAGGTGACACTGGATTCCCTGGAATACCAGGTAAGAATAGTGTATATTGATTGAATTAAGATGTTAATTTTTTGTTCTTCTCTGGCACAAATAAAATGGGAAACTCCTCGCACTCCCAAATGCTTTATATTAGAACATATTTATGTATTGTTTCATATAATCGGACATAGTATATTTTTACACAACATGGTGTAATTGTAACACTTGAGTGGATTTTTGAAATGACGCCATATTCCATGTGACCCTCATTCTGACACGCGTCCCTCAGGTCGGCCTGGTGAGCCTGGCCACACCGGACAGGAAGGACCCAAAGGACAGAAGGGGAGTCCAGGTAAATGACCCTATAGGAGGTGTCCAGGGTACAGCAGTTACACTGAAAATCAGGTGGCACGTTGCTGCAGTGGTTAGCACTGTTACCTCACCTCTGGAACCAGGGTTCAAGGCTCCATGTGTGTAGAGTTTGTCTGTTCTCCCTGTGTCATTGGGAGGGTTTCCTTGGGGTGCTCTGGTTTTCCCCCCGCAGTCCAAAAACATGCAGAGGCTAATTGGAGTTACCAAGATGCCTGTAGGTGTGCGTGTGTAACTGAATGGTGTGTGTGTGTGTTGCCCTACAATGGGTTGGTGCCCCATCCTGGGTTGTTCGCTGCTTTGCACCCATAGGCTCCAAACCCTTTGTGAACTTGAATAGGATAAGTGGTTAAATGGATGGGTAATAATAATTTTTTTCAGGTCATCCTGGAGCAGAGGGCCCCGCAGGGCCCCGGGGCCGTGATGGCCCCGTGGGACTTCGTGGAGAACCAGGACCCCCAGGAACTGGAGAAAAAGGGGACAAAGGTATGAGCGTCACTCTGCATTTTTAACAACTCTGAGGTCAGAACTTGAACTCTGTGCCTCATAAATAAAAAAATGCCTATAATCACTGTCATTCCTGCTCTCCATTAGGTTTTATAATGTGCATAAAAATACTTCAGATTAAAAATTTACTTTGCATTAAAAATATTTCGTTATATATGAAGAAATCAGGCAGGAATAGACCAGGGCTTCAGGATTACTGAAATGTCTGCAGTTGGGCGCTGGGTGGTCTTTTGCCTTTGGGCCGGTGACACTGTAACATGCTTGATGGCTTCACTTCAGTGGAATCCTGCTCCTTTTCACAGGCTTCCCTGGAGAGCCTGGACTTCCCGGCCCACCCGGGTTGGCCGGCCCGATGGGACCAAAAGGTACAAATATCACCAGATATCGACGTCAGTCTATGTTTAACACCCATTATACAGTATTGATACTTATGCAGTTTTATTATAGTAATTCACATATAAGCATCAACAGTTTGTCTTCTCTAGGGGAAATAATGTGAAAGGTATTTAGGCATGAACCTAATTGGCCTATTTCCAATAAAATAAAACCACTAAAGATAAGAATTTATGAACTTCATTCTTTGTGAGTTGTCCTCTCCTATGCTTAATGTACAGTAATACTGTAGAGTAAATAATAATTGTCAGTGTTCTGACTTAATTGACAGTAATTAAGCAGAAATCATTTAGCCAGCTACTGGGGATGGGGGGGGGGGGTCTGGCAGACTTCCTAGCTTTCCACGAGGATCTGGTACCCTGGTAACATTCCTCTGTATCAGTGTTTCCCAATCCGATACTTGGGGACTCACAGACAGTTCACGTTTTTGCTCCCTCCTAGCTTCTGGTAGGAAGGGAGCAGAAATGTGGACTCTCAGGCAGGGAGCTTGGAGGGAGCAAAAACTTGGACTGTCTGTGGGTCCCTGAGGACCCAGTAGGGAAACACAGGTCTGTAAGAATATACTGATTATATATTTCTCCACTACAAGGGTTTGATGGTGTTCCTGGTCCTACTGGTTTGCCAGGTGAGTAACCTTTTACTATTTAGCAGAATGATTTATCTACTAACTGAAGTTCTCAACGTGGATTGGGGAGGAAAGTTATTCTGGTAACACTTAATTAGCAGGGACACAAGTAACTTATTAACTCAACTATTACTCCAGTACAAATCATGAACAAAGTAACTGTCTGAAATATGTGAACCATTATGGCTGATTATTGATGAATGAACATGGGATCAGTATGTAACTAACACATCATTTTAGGTTAATTAATTCATTAATTAAGAGTGTACTACTGCTTTATTTGTGCCCCCTCAAGTGTTACCAGTTATCCCTATACAGTCGATTGAATTTCTACTAACTGACTGCTGTTTGTACAAATTTTGTAGCCTTGTGTCAGCATTTGTAGCCTTGTGTTTATATTATGACCCTGTCTCCATTGCAAAGGATGTCTTAAGTGGGAAGGGAGCCAGCCTCTGTGACTAAGTGTGACCAGTATATAATATTTGCATTAAGAATCACACTATGTGATCCATTTAACCACCTCACCTTTAATAACTTCATTATTTTAAATTACATAGCAATGCAGAAATAACATATTCATGACTTCCTTATAGGTATGCCCGGTCCAACAGGTTTCAGAGGAGAAGATGGACCGCCTGGACCAAAAGGTGAAAATGAACTGACCGGAAGCATATATAGACAAATGGAGCCTAACTGTCTATATTAGCATATTCATATATTTTAAAATATAATCTAAGGTTGGATAATTATTCATTGTAGTAGCCAGCCCTGTAGCAATGTGAAGAAGAACATCAGAGAAACAGCCTTTGCATGCTTTATTTGCCAAAATCTCATCCCCTTTTGCAGGGGAGAGAGGAGTTGGTGGGCCGCTTGGAGCCAAGGGTAGGTCAATATGATTTATATTTCAGTTTTGAATTCTGCATCATCAAATACACCCCATTTGCATAACTTTATTTAATCATCAGTGCATACAAATCAGAAAGAGGAATGTCTTTTGATCATGTTTGTTGACAACCTGAAATTAAACGGTTGTGCCAAACAATAAAAACGGATTAAATAAGTAAACGAACAATAGATGAGTAAGTGAGCATGCTTTTAGAGCTTTTATGCAAAAAATAGCACAAGTCTTAATAATTAGGTGTACAGAGAATCATTACTAGAGGCCAGGCTGAACTGTTCTTTATATTTTGAAACATTTTCGCCAGGTGACCAGGGTGAGAAAGGTCCACGCGGAGCTCAAGGTCTGTACAGTCTGTTGTAGGCGTATATGTGCCTGAATGCCATGTGCTGAAGGCCTCTGCTGTCCAGCAAAGTGCTTCTGATTTGCTGTGAACAAAAGGTGTTTGCTGTGTTCATAAGGGGACCCGGGGCAGCGGGGGGTGCAGGGCCCAGCCGGAGAGAAAGGGCCAAAGGGATCTGTGGGTAGGTGACCACGCTTCTCCGATCTCATCAGCTCTTACGGTTTTGCCCAGTCGTTAAAAACTGAACGGCATGACCTGTAGCCAATGGATAATGTTTCTGATGTCATCTCTTTATGAATGTTAAACAGGGCCCACTGGGGCTGACGGCACCAAAGGGCCCAGAGGTAAGCTTTATGTATGTCCTGTATGTCCAGTAGCTATCACTACGGTATAGTATTTCCCAGATTGACCTAAATGTATTCCATAGCAAAACAGCAGAATGCTGTACACTGCCATCGCTGTTTGCAGGTGACCAGGGACCAAGTGGATTGCCGGGTAGCAGAGGACCGCCTGGTCCTCCAGGAGACGCTGGAATCCCAGGTACTAAAGCATAAACCTTCCTGCTGAAGACTACAGGAGAGTCTGTGTCTGAACCGGTAACATAAACCTGTTCGCCACTTTACTGTGATATATTTTGTGATTCATCTTGACAGTATAGCCCCCTAAAATGTTTTTTACCACCCCCCCCCCCAAATAAATGTGTATTTATTAGCTTAAGTCATGAATAGTTTGCCATCAGCCCCCCCTAGTAAAGATTCAGCCCCTCTATGCATTCTTCTCTAACTACATCCCCAGTCTACAATTTGGGGGGTTGGGATGAGTTTCAAAAGTTAAATATAATTTTCAGTTCTAATTTAGAACAACTGTTTTTATTGACGAATTGTATACTGCATTAAATGTCAATTTACAACTTTACATTGTGTTTATAGGCACTCCTGGGGTTCAGGGACCACCAGGTATGTAAAAACATCCTTGCAAATAAATAATTATAAATTTTAATTTAATTTATATAAATTTAAACAGATAAATTCCAAATATGTATATCACTGGTATGAAATTGCATGCTGATGATTATATTTTCATGTTATAGGAATACAAGGAAATCCTGGATTTCCCGGAGCTAAAGGTTAAAAAGTGTTTTTGTTTTATATAATATATACAGCAATAGCTACTGGAAACTATTATACTGGGGGCAGCACAGTGGTGCAGTGGTTAGTGCTGTTCCCTCACACCTGTGGGATCTGGGTTCAAGTCCCCACCAGGGTTCCATGCATGTGGAGTTTGCATGTTCTCCCTCCAGTCTCTCTCCCCTCCCCCCCCCCCCCCCCCCAGTCCAAAAACATGCTGAGACTAATTGGAGTTGCTAAATTGTTCATAGTTGTGTGTGTGTGTGTGTGTGTGTGTGAGAGAGAGATTGTGCCCTGGCATGGGTTGGCACCCCACCCTGGGTTGATTCCTGCCTTGTGCCTATAGGCTCCTGATCCGCCCATGACCCTGAATAGGATAAGCAGTATCAGAAAATGGATGTTGGGTTTCCTTGTATGATGTACTACTCAAAATAGTTCAGCCACGAACAGAGCATGATTGCTTCTATAAGTTTGTTGCCAGAAGTATCATTTTATTGAATAGGATGTCAAAAAGTGTTAAAAATGAACAACCATGTGATGTTAATCTCTTTTAGGTGATCCAGGTGAAGCTGGAAGAGTCATTAATGCAGGTAAAGTAATTATATTGTCATTCTCATCACAAGTTTTAGTATCAAGGACGTTTTCAAACCTTTGTGCCTATTCTGTATGGGTTTGATGTAATTTTGCTCCATCTCCTTTGTAGATCTTCTCAAGTTCCTTGGAGATCACTTACAGAATGTAGATTTTATGATTTTTTTCCAATTCTCAGTACAGGTCCAGTCAGGACTCAGCTAGATTTACTTATTTATTTCTGACCTCTTCAAGTGCAAAGATTGCCAGTGACAACCTGAAATTAAACGTGACAATTGTGTAAATGTCTCAATACTTTTGTAAATCATTGCATTCCCAGACATTGAAAGGTGATACAAAAATTGACAAACAACATATTTGGAATCTTTAGGAAATATGTAAATGCATCCATTACACTCCAAAGATACTTTGTTTTTTTTCTTGTAGCATGATAGGTGAAGTCAGGTGAAGTTGCACTTAAGTACAATGTTTTTCATTACATCTATAAGGATGGATCCTGAAATGTCCAGCATCTTGAAAATGAAGGAAAACTTGTCCTCTTTTCATAGCTGGCTCCAGCCCTGTTGTCATCCCTGGACCTCCAGGAAGCCCAGGCCCCACTGGGCCGTCCGGACCCCCAGGATTGTCAGGTGGGCCCAAAGCAGCCGGTTAAATCAGGAGATCAACCATCCAGAACGGTCAGTATTTGCTTTTGTTATTAAGTACTGTAGTAATTGCTGTGATGTTGGCTACTTGCAGGTCCCAGTGGTCCTGCTGGTTCCCCTGGTGACCGGGGTAAGTCTCAATTCCCCAGACACTGAGCAGCAGTGACACTGCATTGGCAGAAAATAGGGTACAGCCCTGGTACAGTTTTCTTCCCCAAGGTACAAACAACATTAATGTACCCCAGTGTCCATTTCTGTACTTCAAATTAGACTAAACGGTACATTTAGTTATAGCTAGAGTACATTTGGCAGACCCTTTGAGTATACAGCCCAGTGAAAAGCTTATTGAAAGTTATTTTACCCTCAAATATACAGATTGGTGCTTTTTATGAGAATGAAAATGAATTAAAATGAATTAAAGTAATTAGATTTTAAAAGTGAAATTGAAACTATGTGAGAATTTAATGGCCAACAGTGTTTTTTTGCTAGTGCTAGAAAACCTTGTATTGAGGCATCATACTGTGCAGGTCCTAAAGGAGATAAAGGCGACCAAGGAGAGCCTGGCATCACCGTGAAAACTGTGGAATCAATCAGCCCTTCCCACACTCTGCGTAAGTGCTCATCCTCCTCAGTCCATTTCACTTCATTTATTTATCTAGCATATGCCCAAATGCACGGTAGATACAGAGCGCAGTAATACAGACTGTAGTGCACTTATGATTGCTAGCTGAGTGGGAGCCTGAACTTTCCCAAGAATTAGAGGTTTTAAAAATTCTTGTCAGTTATCAGTATCACCTTAAATTTTGTAGAATTTTATATTAAAGCTCAAACAACTTAGTATTAACATGTAGAGATGCTGAACAAGGGAGGAAAAATTAGGATGATTCCAGGGCCCCCTGAGTGACAGGGGCCCTAAAAAAAATTCGGAACATTATCGGGTGGGGCTGGGTTGGGGGCCCAAAATTATATGCTTTTACGGAGCTCAAAATCACAAGCAGTTGTCCCCTTTGGCATGTTTTGTTTTATTATTTAATGACATTTTCTGCTTGCTAAGGTCTGATCATGCCGCTTTGTCTGAAATAGATTATTGCAGCACCCATTGCCTTCAGTGCATAATCTGTTCATGTGGAGTTTCACAGAAAACTATTATATGTTTATTGCATTCCGCAGTTCCAGGACCACCGGGGCCCCCAGGACCCCCAGGACCAGCTGGACCCCCAGGTACTAACATTGGTCACATAGGTGAAGAAATGAGTTTGTGCCAACAATACTGTGGACTCTGTAAGTATTTACAGAGCTCACAGAAAGTCTTGGGCACTTGCTTAATTCAGTAAAAATTTTGCAGATTTATTGGTTTCATAACAAAAATCAATACTTAGTTCGTTTACAAAAATATATATATCTCATTAGAAACAACCAGTAGTTTTAAGTAAAACATTAATTTCAAGCAGTAAAAAAATATAGTTCTAAAAAAGCTAAGAAGTCCCGTTGGGTGACTTTCAACAAGCAACACCTTCACAATAACATAAAACACCAAATATTTGTGTTTAGTATCCCTTTGGGAGCAAATGACTACTGCTGCAATTAATAGCAAAATAGCAAGAAAAGAACTGAATGAGCCAGTCAAAAAAAATATGACACTTAATAAAAAGAAAATGTCTGTGCAGAGGAGATGTGCAGATAAATTTAACATTTCTTGTCAATGGACTTGAAACCAATAAATTCACAATATCTTTACAGAATTAAGCAAGCATCCCAAGACTTTCTGCGAGCACTGTATTTGATTTACTACTAAACTGTTCGGTAAAAGATTTGTCTGGAACTCAAACACAGATGCTTACCAAAAGTCTTCAAAAGTTAAGCGACAAGTTTAATATATTAGTGCGTGCAAACTGAATGTAGTTTATGTTGCTGCGTATTTTAGTTTTATATTTATTACTGATGGGGGTTACATGTTGCAGAGTAGTGCTTGCAGAATGCATGGCAAAATATCTAACAGCTGTTTTATTGCGCAGGAGAAGCTAAGCAGGGTTCCCCAGGTCCTGCCGGAGAGCCAGGTAAGCTCATCTCATTCAAAATCAATTTTCTTTTCCTTGTGACAGTTGATAGTCCTGGGCTTTTAGTGTAGTGTAGCTAACTAACATCGATGTTACTCCTTCTCAGGAGTTGGTCAGCCTGGGCTACCTGGTCAGAAGGGTGAGCCGGGAAGCTTCGTCCCCAACTCCGGTAGACGCCTTTATCAAGTCAACGCAATGAATCTTGTATCAAGAATATCGATTTTTAATTTTTTTAATTCAGCTGACAGTGAATAAAGCAACATAAAAAAGGAGGCAGACTTCACTTTCACTAATACCGTATCTGTTAATGCTATTTATCAGGAACATTTTTTGCTGGGCCGCCTGGTCCACCAGGACCCCCTGGGCCGAAGGGATCACAAGGTATGCGGATCATAAATATACACTGACCTTTTCATACTGCGCATGCTGCACAGTGATGATTCATACATATATCTCGAGGCAATGACCTGTCCCCCTCTGCATCGTCTACCTAATTAAAAAAGAATTTACTGCTGAAATGGCTGGTTCTACGAGACCCCTGCAGGAAAATTCTTATTTTATGGAATTCCACATTCATCTTTAAAATCCGGCCTTAAAAATTAAACCGATCAGTATGTCATCTTTAGCTATTTTTAACACTTTAAACTCCTTGACTTTTGTAGGTGACCAAGGAGATAGAGGGTACCAAGGTAAGAATGTGGCATATAATACATCATTTTACAGTGAAATTATGACAGCCCATTTTTCATTATTTTTAACGCTCTATATAAAATGATGGCTGTTGATGCTGAGTATTGTTTGATGGTTTACCGGGGTATAGGTCACAGGGAATCAGAATGAAGTCTATGACACACATATGGTTTGGGCCACATGTATAAATTTATTCTTGATCATGTGCACATTCTTTAGGGGAACCAGGACAACCAGGCCTGCCAGGGAGTCCTGGTGATCCCGGAAGAGGTAAGTTAAAAATCTACCTGTATCTGTAGACATGAATGGAAAAGCTGACCTCAGATCAGTTCAACACAAACATTTTGTATACTAGAGTATAACATATAATAGCATGGTACTGTTGTACTACAATATTTGCAAATTATCACCTTGGGCCTCCCACTAAGGCAGGCACTATCAGTCTGAAGAAATCTGAAATACTGCAGAATTTACTGAGGTGGGGGGGTATATTCAAATATAGTGCTGGGGCGCCTGAATTTGCCAAAGTAGATTAAATAACAGAAACACAGCGGTAAACTTATATGAGGTATCTAACAAGGTTCTGAAGGCTTTGACCTTCAGAACAGGGTAAATCTTTCTTAGAATGTTGTCACACACGTACTGTGTGTAGTACGATACTGGACTGCTATTCAAGGAAAATCTCCAGTTACAGGAAGTAAAAAGATGCTTCACATTCTGTGCTCTAGGTTCAGTAATAAAATCCAGGTATGTTTATACCTGATGATTGGGGGGATCAAGGAAAGTATTTGAAGTCATCCTGGTGTCTAGGAATTTGTGTAGCTGTGTGTTATAGGGCATTGATACATCATGAGGGAATAATGTTTGAACCAAACAGAACACTTGCTCCTGTAAAATAGCATATTATTCCTTGGCCATTATATGACCATGCAGAAGAGTCATCAGACCACACGATTCTGTAATTTTGTCCACTAACTGTACATCCATAATATTTTGCATATTTAATTGTTCGAGTTTTTGAAATAGGAATCCCAGGAGTGGATGGAGCTCCAGGACCGCAGGGACCACCGGGCTCCCCCGGGTCAGAGGGCCCCCCCGGGCCAGAGGGCCCCAGAGGTGATGCTTCCTAAGGAAGATCGGTTATTGCTCTAGAGCAGTGTTTCTCAACCCAGTCCTCAGCGAACCCCAGCCAGTCCACGTTTTTGCTCCCTCCCAGCTCCCAGCCCCCAGCCAATCAGGAACACCGAATAGCTGGTACAGGCGCGCTGGGAGCTGAGAGGAAGCAAAAACGTGGACTGGCTGGGGTTCGCTGAGGACTGGGTTGAGAAACACTGCTCTAGAGGATTCTAATAGGGAATTTGGTGTTTTCCATGAACAGATTTTTGTTTGTCTCAAGTTGATTATTCTGTTTGTTTCTAGGAGATGCTGGGGTGCCTGGTGCTCCTGGGATTCCTGGTTCCGCAAGAGGTTCTGACCCTTGAATCACTTGTTTTCTCAGGCACAGAGAAGATATGTGTCTGTATTACTTAGATAGTATTGTTTTATATGATGATTCATCGATGGGTAGGATCTAATAAAGCAACTAAATGGGAAACAGTTTAAGTAAGGTGGGGAACCAATGGGAAGTGAGCTAAAACAGCTGTGCACAATTATTCCACCAATAAAGGGAAGCCGTTTTTGAATCCTTATCACAATTCTAAAATCACTCAAAATACTCAATATGATGTGGAGACAAAAATCTATAAAATTCCTTTTGGTTTCCTAAATAGGATCTCCAAGACTCTTCCAAGGAGCACCTGGTCCTCCCGGTCCTCCCGGACCACCAGGACCTCCAGGAGATGGGTCTGCTGTTCCAGATTTCCGCGATTACATCTCAGATTATCTTCGAAGTAAGCATTTTGAAGTAGCACATCTGTATCATGAAGCAAAACAAAAATATGTTTTAGAAGGTGTTTTGATTTCTTCTAATTCTTCAGAATGTGTTTAGGATAAATTTTTTTATTAGTTTTTTTGGCATGAACTGATACAATGTAATCATCAAAGTATGACCTGTCCAATGCAGGTGATGGCATCAGGGAGTACATGAAAGGGCCCCCAGGTCTCCCGGGGCCACCAGGACCGCCTGGGGACGGTTTAGATGGACAGTCTGTGGATGGCTTAGCTTCTCGTGTCATTGCTTATCTCCAAAGTAAGTCTGGCTCTTTCCATCGGGGTTGCCAAAACTCCATTTGTACAAGTCTGAGTAATCATCATCATCATCGCCGTCATCACAGAAAGCTGATAACTGACAGGCTGGTATTTTAGGTGGCGGAGTTGGCAGTGGCCCCCCAGGTCCACCTGGGCCCCCTGGTACTGTATCAATGGATGATGTCCTGTCTCTGCTTCAGAGTGAGTATTAAGGTTGTATAGTCCAGTATTAATGCAGTAATGACCACTTACCTTAAAGCAGTATTTCCCAATCCGCTCCTCGGGAACCACATGTTTCTGCTCCCTCTGAGCTTCCTATCTCCCGAGCTTCCTACAGTATCTCCCGAGCTTCCTATCTCCTGAGCTCCCCACCAGTCAGTCTGTAAGTCCCCGAGGACCAAATTGGGAAACACCGCCTTAGAGCTCTATTTGCAGATGAAGCTAAAATCAACAGATAATAATTATGTTTAGTTTAAAATATATACCAGCAATGTGAAGGATGTTTTTAATGTCTATGGAAAACCAAGAAAAACTGTGCCTGCTTAATGTTGGCGAACGTCAAGAAGTCAGGAGTAGCATGGAGACACATGTCAAACAGAGAAACCCGCAAAGCTGCCTTCTTTCGTGGCCTTTTAGGGGATGATGTGAGGCAGTACCTAATGGGCCCCCCTGGCCCCCCTGGCCCCCCAGGCTTTGGCTCTTTTAACCCCCGTGAGGTAGCTGGACGTGTCCTTAACCTCATGAATGGTAAGGGCTGTATTCATATACAGGCACTTGGTACAGCTGTTTTTGTTCCCCTGTTTTGTTCACATATTAACCAAGAAATGTGTTGAAAACTTAAAAAGAGTAGCAATTTGTCACAAATTATTAAGACATTGTTCTTTTTTAGGGAATAAAAATCAACAATCAATTAACTTTTATGTTGAAATTCTGTATATATTTATGGTTTGTCACATGCGTATTGAAATATGCTTTCTTGAGCATCTTGCCATCATCTGGACTGCTCTATACTTTTACCAAGCACTCATGATCTATGAGATACTAGGAACTTTGGATGTTCTACCTCAGATCATGCATTCGTAAGGAAGGAGAACATGGGAGGGTTATAATAGGACTGATGTCTGTTTCCTACTTCCTGTTAGAAAATGGATTAGTTAATGTACCGGGACCCCCTGGACCTCCGGGACCCCCAGGATCACCTGGCACAAATTATGATGTCATTTCCTCTCTGCTTCAAAGTAGGTGGCCCCGCCCCTCCTCAAGAATTATTATCTGTACAGATGCCAAGTTAAGGTCTCAGGCTAAATAAGAAATGAAGTAAAATGGAGTCAACATGCTGAAATATTTTTCTGCATATATCATAAAAGAGTTTAAAATAGCTTTCAAATATCCATCTACTCGGCCATCTCCAGTACATGGTCACGGGGGGTCAAAAAAAGCCACACATGCTGATTCATGTCATAATTGTCACATTTATTTGTGCATTCTTTGTATTTTTTACTTGCTATTTGCCTTCCTCATGGTTTGATTTATTCATAAACGGATTAATAATTTTACATTTAATTGACGTCCTGGGTTATTCGCTGCCTTGTGCTTGTAGCGTCTGAGATAGACTCCGAACCCCTGCAACCCTGCATAGGACAAGCTGGTGTAGAAAATGGATCATCTGATGGATGGATGGATGGATGGATGGATGGATATGGATGGATGGATTTCATTTATAATTACCACTTTTACTGTTCCTGAGCTGCCCCCTAGCCGAGAGCTTCTCAATCCCACAGTGCAGTCAGGCTGTGTTCTTCTCCCCCTGAAGACTCAGAGTATCGAGGTATTTCTGGACCACCTGGGCCACCTGGGCCACGAGGCTTTGCAGGCCCACCAGGACCCGCAGGACCTCCGGGACCGGCCTCCTTTTCTGGTTCAGGCTATAGCCTGGAAGATATAAAGGACTACCTGCAGAGTGAGCTTCTGTTCCCTAACAATAATGGGACGCACTTCACAATAAGACTACCCTTATAATGGGTTTATGAATGGTTTATAATCAGGTTATTAATTAGGTTGTAACACTTCTGAGTTGAGTTCTGAGGTGGTACCTCAGAACTCAAACTTAATCCGGATCGAATCCTAAAAAGTTTGAGTTCATCTAAGCACATTTATCAAAACGGTAAAGTAAGAAAATAAATGTATCCAAACAATTTGTAAAGTTAAAAAAAAACAATGTGTCCTGCCCCGATCGTCTGTTCCTTCCGTGTGCCACGCCCCCTCGTTAACCCCGTGTGGAATCCCCGTGTGATCAGCTGTTTCTGGTTGTTGTCATTAGTCCTCTGTCCTCTGTAGACCCAGTCTGGTCATTGTATTGTCCGTCTGCGTTTTGCCTGCCTTGCCTGTAATTAAACCCCATATTCCCCGATACCCTGACGTCTGCGCCTTTGTCTCCGTTCCGTCCCCGCTTGGCACGACAAAATTATTATAATTAAATCTATTAATGGTTTATTATTAATATTAAAATAATTAATAAGAAATCTTTATTTTTAAATGTATTTTATTATATAATAATAATTACTGTTACCGTCTGTCATTGTCTAAATGTATTTTTACTTTCTAAATATATGTATTCAATATATGATTACATTGTATCAGTTCATGGCAAAAAAACGTTACCCTTTGTTTCCGCTGAGAGACGTGCCGCGTGACTCATTTCCCCGCGCGTACAAGTTATCTTAGGACGGTGTTCATGGTTCGACTTCTGAGATTCAGATCGAGTTCTAGGTAAATTTTTTTCGAACTGGTTGGTTTGACTTATAAGAAATTTGAGTTCTAATGAGTTTGAGAACCGAGGTACCATTGTACTTGCATTTATAAGTGACGAAAGGGAGCCTTATTGTAAAGTGGTACCACATAATGCAAGGTGATTTTTCTAGATGTTGTTACGGCTTTGTCTACTTTATAACAAAAAAAATCCATGATGGTTTGTTTTATACCATGGTATCATATCACAGAGATATAGTTATACTAGAGATATGCAGAGATTTTAGATGTACTAGATTTGAGTGAAACGTAGACCTGTGTACTATTTGGGCTTCAAGTGCCAAGGCTCTGTTTCCTTTTTCCAGGTGCAGGTGTCAGTGGCCCCCCTGGCCCTCCTGGCCCCCCTGGTCCTCAAGGCCTGCCTGGATTGACAAGAGGTCTGGTATCATACGTGAAGAACACGCTCCAAGATAAAATACAGACGGAACGTCAGGATTACATGGGTGAGTGCAGGTCTCCACGTCGTTTGCCTAATCAAACAATTCCAGTTCCATAAGACCGTGTGCTAGCAGAGTCATGTTGTCATCAGTAGCTGAGAATACAGCCTAAGAGCTCCGCTGCACGGTTAAGAGCTAAACATCAATCATTTAAATACATTTGTTAAATTAGGTTAAAACATACCATCAAATGTTTATATGTGCCTTTGATGGGAGTTGCAGGCCTTCTTCTGATCTTCTCTTACAGCTGACGGTCTGCCCAGATACGGCATGGGGCCTCCAGGTCCCCCAGGGCCTAGAGGAATGAAAGGAGAGAAAGGTGATGCCTTGGACAGGCGTCGTCATCGATGGCCTGAAGCAGAGGACTATGGGAATGTGGCTGTGAAAGTCGCTGATTACATCAAGAGTATGTATTATGTATAGCTGACTGTTTAGGGCAGACTTTCAAAGTTGCGCCATAATGCTGAAAATCAGTTCTGCCCCAAGGAATTGTTTTTGAAAATGAACTATATTAGAGTGACCAAATAATCCATGTCAGGGAGGACACTTGGAGTTAGGACAGGATTTGTAAACTACCATTTCAATTAAAAGGACCTGGATTTCACTTAAGCACTTTTTTTTTGCTGTGTACTGATTGGTCAGTCTCCTATAATCATGCATGTGTCACTAATGTTAATGTGAAACACTGGATGAGTCTTTCAATCAAGGAAACAAACCAAAGCACAAGAAGAATTGAACTATTTAGCCAAACACAGGAGCCTTTCAGTTTTAAAGTGAAGTGAGTTACCTGAAGTAGCTCAAAGTGTCCCCTCTGACGTGGATTACCTGGTCACCCTAACAATATGCGTATACAGCTGCTCCGAGTAATTTAAATGGATGGTTCTCGGTTATGTGAATGTTACACTATGCCAACAATCTTTTATCTCCATTTTTCACTTAATTCTCTTTCAAGAGAAACTTCTGGTAATCTTGTATTGCTCATATACCTGAGATGGTGGCAGAGAAGCTTAACACTTTTCTGTAAGAGTATAATGTGGAATTTCAGATTTGTAATTACTTTTATATATATATTTTCTTTTAATGATTTTATGGATTTTTTTCGTCTGACATAATATTGTGCCTATAACTAGATCAGGGTCTGTTAGGGGAAGTTCTTCATGGTGATCAAGGAGCAGAATTCCAGGGGATCCAAGGACCACCAGGACCTCCTGGATACAGCCCAGTCGTTGGCTCCCATGGCAATATGACCGAGCTCATGGACTTCATTAGATGTGAGGAAACATGACGCTAAACGGTCAGACACATCTAAATGATTATAGTGGGACACAAAGCCACATTGTCTGTCACAGTGCTGTAACTCCTTTAATGTGTCATATGAGATTCTAACTTTACACATCTTTCAGCACATGGTGCCATCACTGGCCCTCCAGGCCCCCCAGGGCAAAAGGGAGAGATGGGATACATTGGTCCAAAAGGGGACAAAGGTAAAATAAGCCCCACTTTGCATAAAATGGTATGCTCTCCAGCTTGTTTTTGCTCCCAGCCAATCTAGAACACCGAATACCTGTGTTGGTCGTTGGGAGGGAGCAAAAATGTGGACTCTCGAGTTCCTGAGAAGTAGTTTGGGAAACATTGGACTAAACAACAAAGTTAAGCTAAGGTGTGATTGCAGCATACTCCCTGAATTTTCTTTGACATCAGGTCAAAAGGGACAGCAAGGCATCATGGGACTGCCAGGTCAAGACGGACCCAAAGGAGAGAAAGGAGAAAAAGGTACCAATGTCCTTCATTGAGAACAAAATTGCATGGTCACAAAAAATGTCTTTTAAGCATCAGAAACTGGATCAATGTAACTTCAGTTAAAGTTAAAATAAATGCTTATATTGACGCATTCATCAAGGTCTCCACGGGTTCTTAAAAATGAATTTTACATTAATTTCAGGCCTTAAAATGTCAATAACAATATAGACAATGTAAAATCAATTGGATTATTAAGTCAGCATTACAGTGGGATCCACTGTTTGTTATCTGCAATGTATGCAAGTAAACTTCTCTTAATCGCCTTTCGCAGTCACAAAGCACTGTACAAAACTAAAATGCAGAAAAAGCATAAAACAGAAAACGTATAAATCCTATAAAAAAAATAGACAACACATAGCAAAACATGATTTCACAGGATTGGCTCACATTTTACCAAAAGCCTGAGAAAAAGGGTAAGTTTTGAGCTGTGGTCCAAAAAAAAAAGTTTAAAAATCACGGAACGGTTTATGTTTTAAAAGCACTCACCGATTAAGTATTGGCTGTAAGCCAGTGAGTACCTACAATAGGCTGATATTTTTGAACAAATTTTTCCTACTGCAAGTTATGTACATGTACATAATGTTATATTTTTCATTGTAAAATGTGTAAAAGTAACCTGTGTTTTTTCATTGTTACTTCATCGTTTGAGGGGTATAAAAAGCTTGAGGGTTATAAAAAGCATGATTTTAATTGCTCAGTCATCCCTTGATACATGATTTCTTTTCAATGCTGTATCATCTCTTGAGAATTAGGCTAAAATATCCAGAATCCCTTTCATTCGAGCAAGTGCCACACTGTACAGTACTATCTAGTAATGTACAATGTACTTTATCATTATTATTATTAATGTTGACAATGCCTTACTCTACATAATTCATCAATTAAACTTTACCATATGTACATGAAAACCCATTATATATGGGATCTGCAGATGGATCACTGTCATCCACAGTATTGGCTATCACTTGTCTTGTAGTTGCAGTTACAGTAACTTAAGTGTCGTCTTTAAATGTATTTTGGGAAGGCTTTGTATTGATGACGCTTTAACAAAACTACAGAACGCAACCAACATGGAACCGATAACCACTACCCACTAACCATTAACTGCAAAATGTGTAGCCTGGTTAGAATTTTACCAGAACACACCCAGCTGGTGTTTCATGATGTGTGGACTAACGTGGCGTCTCCTCTCATCAAACAAACAAAATACTTTTTTTCCCAGTATGGATATGAAATTGGTCTTAAATTGCAATCATAATTGTTTTAAAAAGGTCTTAAAAAGACTTAGTTACAGTAACTGGAAACCTGCAGCAACCCTGATTCATACTACATACTCTTTAATTTTATAGCATTTTTTTCCATCAACTTTTGAGTAAAATTTTTGTCTAAAATTTTCTGAAAAGGCTGAACTTGCAAAGTTTTCAAGCTAAAAACTAAATAATAAACAGTGAAATCAGTTCCCATGGTAATAAGTCTGTCTAGTAAGAGATTTCAGCATCTGACCCAACAAATGATATTTTTTTTCCTTTTTCTCTTTCCAGGAGGACAAATCATTACCCGTTTGAAGAAGAGAAGTATTGCTGTGTAGGTCAGCATCTGGGAAAGTCATTTTTCTTGTATTTTTGGAACTATATTGAGTAAACTTGAAACTTGTAATTCTTCGTGCTTGGCAAACCACACGGCATATTTGCCACTGAAAGTCATATAAAGTTCCTCACTACTGGGAAGCTTGTATGCATGGAAGATTTTGTTTTTAAACATCTTCAGCTGTAGTTATGGGTAGATGTAACATGCTTTTTAATGTAGCTTGTGCCTGGAACATTTGTAACATCCAGGAATGGGTACGTCATTTTCATTTCTTACAGACTTGAACACACATGTATAGAAAAAAAGTGTCATAATTCTTTTCAACATTTAACAATATGGCTAATAACACCTTGGCGATATTTGCATTAATTGGACAAGCAAAGTGAATAGTTTTTTGGTATATACTATTCAGGCCTATAATTTTCGGTAATGTTATAAAGGCGTTTAGTTCTTGTTTACCAAACATACAGATTCATGTTAATGCTATGTTGTTAAACATTAAGGAACAGGTAAAAATGTTTGGTGTATTTCTGATGAATTATATTTTTGCTGTTATTTTTCATATTTTGTTTATGTGTGTAAGGGAAGATTACTGAATGATTGCTTTATTTTCAGAGGAAAATTTACTGTATTGTATGACTGTATTGAAGAGTTGTTTTTAGTTGGGAACAGGAGTTTAAATATGTGCTTTGACATACAATGTTGTAATTCTTCAGTAAGCACTGCTGGAAACACATTGGAAAATAAGAGAACGAAAGAGAAAAATGTCATCCTTTTTTGGGAAAAAGAATATTAAACATCCTAATGTCTTGTTTAGCTTTGGGAGAATCTTATCTTTTACCAAGTATCTTTACCTTTTAAGATTTGCTTTAGTGGGGATGGTAAACAGACCCATGTGACACGGATTGGTGGGTGGAAGATGGCTATGGACGTTACAGGAAAATTAGAGGCAAACAGGCAGGGGGAAATAAAACAGACACTGGGTGCTGGGAAGATAATAACATCAGAGCTGGAAACAAGGTCTGAATATCAGGTCTGGCGAGACAGACACTAAAGGTGAATGGGGCTTGTCAACAGACTCCCCTCGTCGGCAACAGACAGTTTCAGCCAATGTTATAAAACACAAAACATTACATGTATAGTCACTTTATTTACAGCACAGTTTCAATGTAAATGGCCTGCTCTATAAGTTTTTTTTTTTTTATCAATAATGTTTCTTGACATCCTTGTAAATTTGCAAAGCCGTTCAAATAACCATTAATTATCAAAGGTTGCCATACATTCATTTATTAACAATCCATTTCTATTTTACTGTGAGTTTTAGTTTTTGTAATAATGTGACTGGGACGTCCTTCATGCACTGGGAGCATTGCCAATAAAGCAGAAAAGCAAAGACCTGTCTGTCTGTGACGGAAGCAGATTTATTTATTTCATAGTGGCAAGCCTTAGGACTCATAATATCCTTGGTTTTTGTTCCATTTTATTTCATTCTGACAGTTATAGCATACAAGGGACGGACAAAATAATAGAAAAAAAGACTAACTTAGATGTCAACATATGAAAAATAAAACTACTTTAAAGGGACTTTTATTTCTACTACACAGTACAGGACTTCAGCTTGACAGAATTAAAAAGGATTGACACTGTCGGCCAAGGGTGACCTCGCTTCTTAATTCCTCTGTTAAAACATTGTTAAGCACTTCTGTTTTCTGTATTTTGTCCACCCCTTGCACACTGATGGATAGAGTACAGATACCAAACCTAATTCGATCCGCTTTCTACATTGTTTATTGTAAATCAGCTTTCATCATAAATGCAAACTCATTTAAAAAGGGATTAAATCAATGAAATGTTCAAAAATATGTAAACTATGTCTATTTAAGTGCAAAAACAAACAAAAAACAACTTTTTTACTCTTTTATTCAGTACAAACAAATATCTTAGAAAAAGATACTGAACATTAAGCAGAATTCAAGTAACAGCTAAATGAAAAGTTAAAAAAATGCAGCAAATAATAGATCCAGAATATCCATCAAGTCTCCAGGAATATGACTGGGAACAACTTTTACAGACCAAAACAAAACATGCACTAACAGATTGTTACTGCCAGAAATCGTTTACGTTTTCACAAGAAGAGAAACTAAATATGGAATTATTCTCATCTATAACAATACTTCAATGAACCCTTGATATTTTTGTCTACAGGATCACTTCAGAAGTTAAATTAAAAAATAGTTACTGTTTATATATTGGAACATCAATGGAGATTATGACTCAGATTACCACTTGTAATAATGCATAGCCATAAAGAAAAAACGAAAACAATGTATCCAGCATTCAATGCACCTCAAACATAAGTCATAGATTAGCATCTAAATAAAATGGACACTCTATGGTCCATGGAAAATATCATAAATAAGATGGACATCTATTCAAATTAAATCTTAAAATTATATATATAAAAAACAATGAACATTGATGTATTGACATTTACACTTTAGAGGGACTTCTATACATCTTTCAATGAAAAAAAAATTAAGGCTATCCCCTAATTATAGTAAAATAGCAAGTAAATAACTCTGCATTACTTCAGTAACTTCATTTTGTTTAACCATAGCAAAATAGAACTGGGGGAACAGTATCTTAATGATACATATTGGTGGCCCAAAATAATTCTGAAAAACATGTTGGGTGGCCGTCCCAGTTCAAGACACACATCAAAAATAATCTCAGCTTATTCTCACTTCAGCTACACCATAGAACCTTATCTTACTATACCTTACTAAAATGTATGCGATAAACCGTTTGCCCTTGCAACTCATTCTCTTAAGATCAATATAATACATAACGGGAAAAAAAAAGTTTCTCATTAACTATGACAAAGTCATTCAGTTGGGACTTTTAGCTAAAGATAATAGAAAATTGCTGCTTTCGCTCATAAAAACAACACGCACGCACGCACGAATGTATGAATGCACACACGAACGTGCACACGCACGCACACAATTAAGAAACCATTATGTGCAACTTCAAAAGATATACCAACGACATACAAATACCCAATTAAGGTACCTAAAAGTATATATCCAGTCATGCAAATAGCACTTTTCAGTCTTGCTTTACCTTTATCCATTGATGTAGTGAAATATTTCGGTTGCACATTAAATACATGCCTTTCAAAGTGCATTGTGACTCACTGTAAAATATTTTATAGTCTAATTCAAGCAACCGCCACATCAATCAAATCAAAAGTTTGTATTCTTATATTAGGAAGATTTGTTTTCTGGGTTTCTGCGGCAAGTTAAAACTTGAATTGTGCAGAATTATACAGATCTGTAGCTTCTTTTAGTGCAGCAAAAAAAAAATAAAAAATCTCAGAACAAGAAAGGCCAAAATATTAATTTAGGCACCATGTTTTTTAAATCACATGAAAAACAACAGGAAAAAAAGCCTGTGCTATACTGGAAAATTTTAAACAAAAAATGTTAATTGAATACTTTTCAGAAAATATCTGACAGATGATTAAAAACTCCATAACATTAATGTGGATTTTTCTTGCAAAATTAAAGCTAGCAGCTAAATAAAGGGTTGATTTTTAAAAGGAAAATTAAATATTCACTTCATTAATACCATACTTCGTAAACTGTATTTGGTGTCTTTGGACCGTTTAATCCAGTTCCAGCATCTGTGAGGAGCGATAAGCATTTAAAGTGTTGCAGAATTTACACTGATTGTCGTTAGTGGATCTGAGTAGCAGAGGAGGATGATGATTCAGCAAAGCCATGTCAGGCTAGTGAGGGGCAAAGAAACAAAAGGGTTAGAATCCAGTAGAGTGCACGCTTGGGATGGGGTAGAACTTAGAAATTCGGCTTTGGGCTGTTGGGTTAAGGCATTCGGACTCCCCGCTCATCTTGAAAAACATCTCCTGTTCCTGTACCCTCCGGGCAAATTCCTCCTCAAGAGCCTGGGGATACAATGAGCATCTGGGTAAGACCGTTTATGTAAAGCATTTAACATGAACAACTCGCATCCACCCTAAACCCCATCACTGGCAACAGCATGACCACTTGCCTTCTTTCTGGGACGGAGTTTCTCTCTCCACTCCTTCAGCTCCTGGCTGTGTTCTTCATCAAGTTCCTTCAATTTTTGGGTCTCGTGCTCAATCAGAAGATGACATTTCTCATTCTGAAAGGCATCAAGTATCTTATAGCTACACGCATTGTGGCAATGTATGGCCTGCCTAGTAGTTATGACGTGCCCATTTCATTTCAAGGTGCACTTATCGTAGTGGTATTATTCACAATTTTACATATAAACTAGGACATGCATATGTTAGCATGGCCATGCAAGGTGATCCAGACAAAACAGAAGTTGTGTTTGCATGTTACCACCTTTTAAAAACTCTGGCTTGATGCTTGTGGATACTGTGAGTAAGCGAAATGCCAGATGGGCCACACGAGCCGCCCGACGCACCTGAAGCTGCTGCAGCTCCCGCACGTTGGCGTCACACTGCAGCTGCAGGTCTCTCATCTGGTTCTCATGTTTCTGGTGCTGATGGAGCCTCTCGCTCTTCTGACGTTTATCCTCCTGGGCGGCAAACTGCTCCACGCACACAAAGGACCAACACAATGCGACTTAAGCAGGACCTGACTGGTTAGCTAATACTGATCTGGTACCAGGCCTCCTAACTGAGCAGCCGGTGTTGATAGGCAGTGACAATGTCCCCATTATTTCCCATCATTAATAATCTTTACCTCTTTTGTCTCAAGCTAAATTATACATAGTAAATCTGAGTCAAAAGTAAATTACAAATTGAAAAATAACACGGCTGAAGCTGAAATGTGTGTTGGACTATGAAATAGGGCTGCAACTAGCATTTCATTCCGTTCATTTTTCAATTAATTGATTATTAATCGGTGGGGGGGGGTAAAAACCAATTCGATTTCCAGCATTTTTTTAATAACCCAAACTGTCTTTGTACAAAGGTTGTTTCCAGCAACTCACATAAAAAAATAAATGTATGCTACATTAAGAGTACAAAAAAATTAAAATTTCGTAGCAGCTGAATCAATGTAATGAAAAACACAAAATCTTTTTTAATAAAGTGCAACCAGCATGGTGCTTTAGATAATCTATTCAGTACTCCAGTTTTTTTTTTTTATGTAAAAGCACAGACTACTGCTACTGCTACTAAGAATATTATTAAGTAATTCTCTAACGTTATTCAATGTTGATGCACATATGTGATGGGGGGAGAGAGCACGTGAGCAAGTGTGTCTCCCTTTATTACAGACAAAGTAAACATTTATTGCGGAGAAGAAGCCTTTTCCGCTAAAAATGCGTCGGCTCACGCTCTCGTGAAACACCATAGACTTTAGTGACTGAAAACTGGTCTTGAGTACTATGACATTTGATATTACTATAAATTTCTATCATGAAGAAATGAAGCAGTGGTGTAGTGGTAACAAGAATTTTAAGGTGGGTAAACTATATGCACAGCAGTAAAAACAGTGGGTAACTCTTCGTATCCTTAACATTAGTGATCTCAAAAGGTGAGTAAACGCTGTTTTGTAAATTTAAAAGATGCATAAACAGCGTTTATGTGCATTTACCCTCCACTACACCACTGAATGAGGGAGTTGCGTTAATCTGAATAATTGCATAAAGTAATCCAAAAACTCCACAACATAACATAATACATCAGTGTCTGACCTAATTTCAGCTAATTATCATCAAATACTACCGTTTTTGGCAGAATTAAAACTAGACTGCTGTGTTCGCGTCCACCATTTTTCAAACGTTTTTTTCAAATTCTTCCAGAATTCATCACGTAAGATACTCAAGGCATGGTATTGGTTCTCGTCTACTTTTCTTTTATGGCGGTCAGCATCCAGCTTAATGGTGCTTTGGTTAGATTACTGCTCCCAAATTAGGGAGTAGCCACTGTACTTATGTGTATAATAACATAAACCGAATTAATCGATTATTAAATTGGTTGCCAACTATTTTAATAGTCTATTTCAATCGATTTAATCGATTAGTTGTTGTAGCCCAACTATGAAAGCTTTAACAAATCCACAACTTTTTAATTCAATCTGGTTTTTGGCAAAGCTGAATTTAATGTCACTGTACTACTACAGTAGCTGCTATTACAGAACTCAGCTGTCCAATTCCGATAGATTATATGATCCGTTTGTATTGTGTTTAGATGCTAACTTTTAAGTACTGAAAACATTAATTGAACAGATCATTTTACATGAAATAATTTGTTTTTCATAATGAAAGGACAGATTAGCATGCTTACTGCCACTGTGAAACATTTTTCTGATTATGATAATGGAAAATGAAATGTGCCAGGCCAATCAGCTTGTATTTGATCTGTTCTCTTAATTTCACAGCACACCAATGGCTACAATATAGCCGAAGAAGGCAACTATGTAACCTACTATGCGCAGGTACACTGCATACAAAAATAACCATAGAACACTGCTCTAGACCAGGGGTGGCCAATCTTATCGGTAAATGGCCGGTGTGTATTCAGGTTTTAGGGGTAACCTTTAGGTCATCTGTTCAAACCCAGGTATGAGGACTCATCAGCCAATCACTCCTCTAATTAGTAGTCTAATTAAAGAGTTACAGTGAAAACCCGCATAGACATCGGCCACCCCTGCTCTAGACAATATATATGTGTGTATATATGTGTGTGTGTGTGTGTGTGTGTAAAAACAAAGGAGTGCGCAGCCGCATGCGGGGCACCTGCTTGATCTTCTCCCTCTCCTGCTCAGGGGTGTCTCCAGCAGATGTAATGCGTAGGCTCTTCTTGAACATGGCCATGCGTGTCTTGGCATCACTGCGCTGAATCTTGGGCAGTCTAGCCCTTTCCTGTGTTTGCCTGTTCTTCATTTCCTCAATCAGCCTCTGATTGTACCTCTGCATCTGTTCCATCTCCTGATTCGTGGGGGGTTACACAAAAACTTGCAGTTCATTTTATTCGTGGATCAAACAAGGATCAAACAAATATATCAAAAAAGTTACTAATGCTTAAAAGGAAGAGACAAGTCTAATACCTTGGTATAATATACACATCTACACTTTCCTTAAAAAGTTAAAATAAAGAAAAGCATTTTGTACCAACTTTATCAAGCTTCTGGTTAGCTGGACAGACACCTGGAACCCATATCCAGGTCTAAGCAACCATTTAATTGAGCAACTTTGGTTAATAGCATTTTACACAACAAATATCACACAACTGCTACAGATTTGGTAGGATTATTTAAACAATTTAGCGCTGTCTAGCTGTACCCCTTTGTGGCACTGGTTAACACTTCTCAAGGAAACCAAAACTAAATTGTACCTATAAATCTGCCAGTGATTTGAACAAAAACTGTTCAGCTGGCTTGAACAAAGCCTCTTTGTCCTCCTGACCCCCTTCTCCTTTTGTTTGATTAAAACCAGACACATGCAGCCTCTTGGCCAAAAGGTGTTTCTACATGCAGGACCATTAGGCCAATAGACATTATTATTTTTTATGTATTTACATTGGCCCAGATACCTATATGTATAGGACTACAAATGAAAATCACACTACATATTCATTGAAAGCTTTGTTTCACATTTGGGGAAAACATTTGTCTCATGAAGAAGAAAAGTACTGATGACCCACATTGTTCAAAGCTGAGAACACGTGAGGTGCATAAATTATAAAACATGCCAGCTCTCCCCAGAGGGATTAGATGTTCAGCTGACGGAGATCTGAGGGCACCCTCGCTGGCCTCACCTTTTCATGCCTTTTGAGCAGCTGATGTCTCTGCATGAAATACTGATCTTTCAGCTGCTGCTTAAGAAGCTGGTGCTTCTCCTGCAGGTGGCGCTCTTCCAGTTCCCACATGGCAGCCTCCCGGGCTACAGCACAGTAAGTCAGACACTCCTTATTCACCACAATCAATACCAGATGCAAATTATAACTACTCATTTGTTTGTTCTTTGTCATTTCTTTTTACTATGAGTTAGACACGTCGACATTAAATGCCAATTCTGTAGATGACGTTGTGACTAACAATATACATGCTAAACCTTGAAAGCAGCAGGCTTTGTAAGGAGTTAACAGAATGAATCTAATTTAGTACAGTAGGCAGCTGCACGTCAGCTGCGGGACCATTTCCTATTAATATGCTTCATCTGTGCGCTTTATGGTAGCAGGCCTGTGATTGGCGTTGGGTGTAGACAGTGTGTCAGCCTGACCTCTCATGAGCTGCTGTTTGTGGTTCAGACACTCCTTCTCAATGGCGGCCAGCTCATTCTTGTGCTGATGAATGATCTTCTTCAGGGCGCAGTCAAGCTCCTGCTGCTGCCTCTGCAGGAACTCCTGCTCCTGGCGAGGCACAGAGAGAGACGTCGGCGTCGGCTCCTGCTGGGCTCGGGAGACGTACGAGCACGAACCAGCTACAAGCAGCTAGTAAACTCGAGGCCTTCGCGAGACTTTCACAAAATAGCCAGTCGTAGGTCAGAGCTTCACAGTTCTGCGAATGACCAAACGCTAGATGGATGAGCTTCTTGTAGAGAAGAACTATAAGAGTATACTGTATAACAAAATCACATCCAAACACATAATATAACCAAAGCTCAAAGTCTTCCCTAATTATATGGTAAATGTTTTCGCCCCTAACAGAAGGAGGAAAATTAGAAGTCAGTCTTTATCCAACCCTCACATGTCAATCGAAAAAACCCACACTAGTCAAAACCATGAGACACACATGAGTATCAGCATAAAAAGAATTCTTGTTTGCTTTGTTCTACTTATTGATTGTCAAAAGTCTGCATGTTTTATATGCTGAGGAAACACTGCGGCACAAACCACTCTAAAAAAACATTTTCAATTGCTCTAGGACATGAAAATGAACACAATCCATCTGTATATATGAAAAATATGAGCAAAAAACTGACACCAGTGTTATTCATCTTGAGCTCACCCACCGGTTGTGTGATCACTCCCACTCAAATAACACAGCAGCATTTTAAAAGATTCAGCCACCAAGCAGTGTAATCCACCGTGCTTCATCAGGTTTACTGCTCAAACGTGAACGTCACCGGACAAAGTGCAGAATATCACAAACAGAATAACGATGAGAGTCAGATAACACATCACCACACCAACAGAAACATTACTCAAATAGATACATTGCCATGCTTGCATGTGCCAAATGCATTTCTCATTCCAACACTTAATTTTAACAGTGTATTAACATTGGCTACCAGCTCTATGCACAACAAAAGAAACACGTGGCAAAAACTAAATCTGCTGGAATAAAATGTGTTTCTCTCAGAGATCATCTTATTCTCAGTTTATAATGATGGTGCAGCTTTATGAATGTAACGTAGAATGAAATTTAAGATGGAGACGGATTGTTAATTTAAGCATAGATCTGTATATCTATTGCAAATTGCATATGATTATAAGTAAGATCTAGGACTTGAAGAGCTATGGAACCATGGTATTCTGAACTGGCTCAGAATACTGTATGTACCTAGCTTGTAAACGGTGTAAAAAAAAAAAAAAAAAAAATCAACAAAATCAGCATTTCAGGGGCAGCTAAGAAAAAAAAAAAAATTCCGTGTAGCCGATAAACTGACATATGGTAACATTTAGTCTGATTTTCTTTGCCAAGATTAACACACCATCCATATGCCCAGCCAGTTAATGGAAGGAGAATAAGTGTGTTCAGCACTTTTTAACCTCCAACACGCTTTCATCTGAAAAGCAGCATGTAAAGATTTCCAACTGCCCTTGCAGTCTGTGTACGACTTGAAGTGGAGGTCTAGACAAAAAAAACTGAAGTGTTTGTGCCTGTATTGGAAATCTACTACATTCATAAAATAAGGCATGTGCTTTGTGTACAAAAATAAAAGGAAATGGCAGCAAAATTGGTTCAGTCTGTACTTAATTTATGTCATAAGGCCTAGCTGCCTCGAGAATAAATAAAGCAAAACCAAAGAATACCCTATTAGTATTAAAAAACAATGGCATAGTTATACAAGACTGGTCCTGAGCTTCCATGGTGGAACACAGTACAGTCAACAATACAGCTTTTGGCTTGTTTCAAGATGCAAACAGGTAGGACAACGATGGATCCAGAACAGCACAGTTCAGAAAGAAAGAGGGAAAGATCACCAAGGAAGGGAGACTTACGTCCTGCATCTGAGCGTTGAAGAGCGTACATGAGGACAACTGAAAAGACTGTATCATAACTTGGGCCACTCCCTGTGGATTAGAACAGATTGACTTCCCAAATCAGCACCAAAAAAAAATCCCTGCAATCCAAAATCTCGAGCAGCATGCAGGGTGACTGTACGCAAATCAACAACACACCTTAAAAGCAAGAGGTTACAAACAAAACTTAAGTTTTGTTTGCTTGGTTTCATAATCTTTGCAGTACTACACAAAAGAATATTGGAGAGCTGCTGCAACTGAATGAAACATTTCGGGTTATAAGCCAAAGGTTCCCTTTTGCAAGTTGCACACAAGCAGCCGCTGTGAGTAAGAGGTTAAGGGCAGAAAATCTTCTGTACAAAACTGAGAGGAGAGGAGCACCAATGCGTGGACTATATTCATTCTTGTTTGGAAGATCACCAGGAAAGGTCCAAGCAGAAGACAATGCGAATCACTGCAAACACAAACTACATGAATTTCATTACCCACAACAAACCACTCAGCTTTTGGCACTCCACCAAACTCAACCTACAGTGCAATTAAAACAAAATCCAGTACTTATCATATAAACAACGCATTTTGCTCCTTAATACATAAGCACGCACACGCACTCACCATGTACAATGATAAAAACCATTGTACGTTACTGAGCTGCTAGCAGTTACGTTGATACAACTACGGATTTCTTATATTTAAGATAAAAAATAAACCACATGCAACAGAATGGCACTCACCATTCAGAAAGTGACAGTTCAAATGGCAGGCACTCAGCATGTTCTTACCTCTTTCCTCCGGTTCTTCAGCATGTTTTGAAACTTGGACAGCTCTTTGTCCTGATCGGCCTTTATGCGCTTGGCCTCCTCCCTAAGGTGACTTGTGTGGTCTTGCTCCAGTCGCTCGATGGTCTGCTTCTGCTGCCTCTCCATGTTCTCAATCTCCTGGTCATATTGCCGCTTTTTGCTCTACAAAGACAGCACAACATTTACATGAGCCTGAAACTGCTATGAGACACAGGTGAGATCCTTGAAGAGTACTAGAGACATTTCCCAAAAGCATTGTATCAGAACATAAGATCTTTCTGCATAAGATTGGTCAAGGATGGATTAGGAGAGTATGAGGAAAAAGTTGAACGGACATTAAGTGGGACTTGCTGAGCTTCTAGGAAGATTTACTGTAGTACTGCATGACAAATTAGCTGACTTTAGGGTTTATTTTATGAATAGGACAAACTAATTGAATTTAATTTAATTACAGAATTATGAAATAAAACTAATTTTAAGTAAACCTATGAACATGTATCAATTTGGTTCTTGTTCAATAACTAACACTGTGACATATAAAATGTTGCATTTTCTCTTTTTAGACTGAAGGGTTTTGTTCTTGACTCAGATTCCAGGCAAGCTTTGGATTATCGAGTACAACTTGGAACTTGGACTTTGAGCCTGGAGTTATATGACAATCTGTTCTACATTCCATAAACTCCTCATTCCACTGGTTTACAGAAACAGCAATTGATCTGAGTCATCAACAGGACATAACTCCAAGAACGTGCTACGTATTTAAATAAACAATTACTGTGCTGCACTTTGGTTGGCAATGATGCTCCCATGTTGTCTTGTTAGAAACCCATTGCACCCCTTTCCTGTCCCTTATTTGTTTCTTGGTCTAATTATATTTAGAGTTCAAAGAAACCCACTGTTAAAAAAAAACAACAAGGTTTTAAAAAAAGGTCAATAAATGCACAATATTTCTATGATCAATGAGTAATCATGATCTCAGTGTTAACCAAAACGATCAAAATTATGATTTTTTGCCATAATCTAGCAGCCCTAATTATAACTGTGTAAACGTTTAATCCAACAAGGAAATAATCGCACAGAAATTGAAACAAAGAGAAGATATCCACTGTTAGTATGGAAATGATGAATTAAGTAGCAGGGCTGATTAGCCAGTTTAGAATCAAGTATCTGATATAGCAGCAGCTTGTGGAAGCACCGATGAGTGATGTTTCAGAAGCTGTCCATCTGCTCCCAGCCAGAACCTGATTAGCCATGACTCACCATCATCTCCTGCTCAAAACGACGATAGATTTGCTCCCGTTGCTGCTGCAGCTTGTTGCTCAGCTGCTGCTGGGCCCTCTGCTCCTCTTTCTGCAGCAGTCGCAGCTCACGTAGCTCCTGACGCCTAGTGAAGGATGCATTTAATTCAGGGTAACTATTATTGCCTTAGAAAGAGTAAGCAAATGCTTGGCGTTTAGGCGACTGTGAGAATCTACCTTAAATAGCAAGGAACGATTTCGGGAAATTTACCTGAGGAATCTCATTTCTTCATTTTTGGTGTCATTGTCAGTAACAATTTTTGATGTTGTGACTTTGACTTCAACTCCATCGACTATAAATTTCCGAGTTTTCTTTAGCGTCTTCTTTTGTCGCCTCGTATCCTGCAGTAGGAAAATGGCAAAAATCAATCATTATATTACTACGACTTTAACACCACATGTAAATCATTGAAATAAAGATATATGTGTCTCACCTGAATGGATACGGAGCCTGACTCTTTGTTCTTAGTCAGGAAGCTGGAGAGGGAAAGGTTCAGGTCGATGCTGCTGTTGTCAGCTGTAGAGTTGCTTCCAGAGTCAGTGTCCTTCTCTTTGACCTTTTCAGCATCAAGCTTAATCGGCGGAGCCGTTTCCTTCTCAAGGTCAACGTCAGCATCACTGCCAGCTATGTTCACCTTCAAGCATTCTTCCTGTTTATTTTCCTCTAGAAGCTGTGCAGGGGATGGCTTCTCCTCTGCAACGTCATTCTGAGTCCCAGGAACAGCACTGACCAATGAGGATTCTTCAGTAGAAAGTGGAGAACCATCATCTACTTGTCTGTTCTCTTCGGAAAGCTCCTGTTGGGTCTCACTGGTAGTTATGTCTTCATCTCTTTGCAAAATCTCTCCTTCCTTCTCATTAATGTCCTTCTCATTAATGTCCTTCTCATTAATGTCCTTCTCAGGAGACACCTCTGCATCCTCCTTCTCCTCTACCATGGTTTTAATTTCTTCTGAACTTTCATCAGATTTTTCTGCCAATTCCGCACTGTTGAGTATCTCATCAGGTTTCTCAGCCTCGACTGGTGGCAAACCTTCTTCATCCATCACTGTAGAATCATCTTCTTTGTCAGCTTCTGCTTGGACCTCTGAAATCTCTGTTGTGTCCGACTCTTTCTCCTCCTCTGGTGGTGGTTCTTTTTTTGTCTGCTCTGGCTCTTCTGTTCTTTTGTCAACTTCATTTGGACAGATAGGCAGATCTGGACTCTCCTCTGTGATTTTCTCATCAGACATTTCTTCCTCTGGCTCAGCCAGAATATCACCTTTGTTGTCAATGTCCTCATTGCTGGTGTCCAGAATGCTGTTCTCATTCAGTTTTTCATTTTCCATTTTGTCTGTTTCACTGCTGCCAGTACCCCCATCGGAAAGTTTGTCACTAGCTTTATCCTCTCCGTGTTCAGACTTATCTTTCTCTGAGACGGACTCCATAATTGACACAGATTGTGAAAGTTTTTCATCTTCAGAACTGACAACGCTAGCATCTGATGGCGCTCGCTTGTGTCCAGGCACCAACTGAAATAAAAAAGTCAATTTTATAAAAAAGTATGAAAATCAAAGTAAAGAATTTTTTTTTTTAATGAACTGAATTGAATAATGTGTACGCACCAATTGTGACTCTGATTCTTCCTCCTCCTCTTCATCTTTACCTTCTTCAATCTCCTCAGTGACTTCTGCTTTTGCCTCTGCAATTAGCTCTCGAAGTGGTCTGCTGTCATTGATATTTTTGACAAACGGATGCTGAAAAGAGATACCAAATTATACAGCTGCACAGACAGCCAAACCAGATGGTCATTAAGACCCTTTAGTAAAGTGATTAATTATGTCAACTAACAGATTTCTAGAGCACAACTGGTAAGCATCTTGAGTTTAAGAAATTACGTAACATTTTTTTGCCATTCTTTATACCCTACATTACACTAAACCAAAAAGAATGTTATGTAAAACTTTATATAAACTACAGGAACATCACATGCAGACACAATTAGAAATCCAGATTGAAAAATCCAACACAATCAAAACAAACATGCAACCCTAAATTGGACAAATTGTATTTCAATAAGAATAAAGGACTATAAATATACATTTCTTATTTTCTTTGCATACATGTGAATAACCCTTACCTTTTTCCTTTTGATTAGCTGTTGCACATATTTTTTTGCTGGTGCAAAAAGGTAAAATTTCCTAGATATTAAGTCCTTCATCTGAAGAAGGCTTCTGTTGTACACTTTCGAACCCATATGTCCTATCTATATACGTATATAATGCTGGTGTGAGTATATGCACGCTGAACACAGGATTTCTGATAAGCGTCTCTGTTCAGTCTGATAATAGATCTTCTTCTGCAAGGCTCCTTTAATCCCTCCGTTCTGACGTACGAACAACGCAAACCACACTTGACAGGTGAACAGCTGTCACATCCACAGCAGGTACTTGTCAACTAGGATAAGTCTCAGACTACCTCACCTGCAGAAGTTGCATAGCGTTCCATCTGTTGTCCACGTTCTTATCCAGTGCTTTTTTAAGAAAATCTCTGAACTCAGGAGACCTGCCAATGAGTCTAGATTAGGCCAAATGTGACTATCCACCCTTTGATAGAATAATACAGTGGTACCTTGGTTCTTGAACTTAATCCGTTCGGGACTCTGGATCGAATCCTAAAAAGTTCCAGTTCTGATCGAATTTTTTCCATAAGAAATAATGGAAAACCAATTAATTGTTTCCCGCCCCCCCCAAAATTACACCTAAATTTGTTTTTTTTTTGGCATTTAAACACAAAATGAACAAGATAAAACAAGAGCAGCATTTTTTTCTTAATGGCTTCCAAAACGATAAAGATCTTATCCCAACATTACCCCTGTCCTGCCCCGATCGTCCGCCCCTTCCGTGTGCCACGCCCCCTCGTTAACCTCGTGTGGGATCCCCATGTGATCAGCTGTTTCTGATTGTTGTCATTAGTCCTCTGTATTAAGTCCGCGTTTCAGTTTGTTTCCCCAGGCCGGTCATTGGGTGCGTTCGACTTGCTTACAGCGCTGGCTTAAAGCAACGCATTCTGATCCTGACGCAATGCATTACGGTTAGATGCATTGCGACCTCTCACCCGGCTGCACAAACTGGAACCGCCTCCGTAACGACACACCTTTGCCCTTATTGGCTGAAGAGTTTAGTTACACGCATGACGTTTGTATCCCAGGCAATCTGCTATTTCTCCCGAATATCACGTAAAGCAGTTAGAACTGGTTTTCAGTTAATTTACCTGGTAAAATAAAGTTTAAATAAATGACATAAATGCTCTAATAGTACAAGTAAGTTAGTGGTTAATTTATTGTTAGTTACTGTAATGTTGTGCTGCTTTATTTGGTTAATCGTCCAGTCTGTGAAGAAGGCATTCAAGTAAGAATTGCATTGTAGTATGACTCATTTCCTGGCACGTACAGTTTATATTAGGTCAGCGTTCACGGTTCGACTTCTGATATTCAGATCGAGTTCTAGGTCAAACTGGTTTGTTAGACTTTCAAGAAATTAGAGTTCTAGTGAGTTCGAGAACCGAGGTACCACTGTAATTTAAAACATTTGGGTTAAGTACCTTAACATCTGTTTGACCAAGTACCCGAATAATGTTACCACTAACAGTTTAACACCAGATACCACATATAAAACAATGTGGGCAAATGAGGGATAAAAGTGAAAAACCACCCTGATGAAAATAGCCTAACATGAATTAAAATAACTGGAAGATATACAACACTAATCATGGCAAATCAAATTATATTGGCGCTCAACAGAAATCTAATCTAATCTAGGTTTATAGGAAAGCCAAGGTCCAGACATTCGTTATAACAGAATTTTTTCAAAATTACCATCGTGATGGATGCATCAGAGTAGGTGGATCTGACTTAGCTATTTTCAGGAGAACTCTCATTGGATTCATCTCGTGGTTCGGTGGTTCAATCTGAGCCAGCTCAATTAAAGTGACACCGAGGGACCAGATGTCAGCTTTGTAGTCATACGGTCGGTCCTTAGAGGTCTCACACATCACTACTTCCGGAGCCATCCTACAAGGAAAGACAGACCAGACTAAATGCCCTAAACATGCATTGTTCCAAATTACATCGCTTTCCTGTTCATTAACCACTGGTCAATTTAGCATTTGACTCACCAGTATGGCGTCCCGATGAAAGAATCTCTTCTCTGTAGTGTTTTTGTATTTTTGGCAGACACACCAAAATCAGCTGAAATTCACATTTGTCATTAATCGGCCATCGATTTAATCAAATTTATAACTGTGCCATCCTAAATATTTTTCCTTGCAGCTGACTCACACTGCAAGATTGTAAATGTGTTCTGCCTTCATAATTCAATAGTTGAAAATGTATTTGAATAAGCTTCTAAACCTTATATCATAGTCGATGAGATTTGACATCGACATCACAAAGGATAGTTTTTAGTTTTATAGGAAATACAGAATACTGCAACACCTGTATGCAACATAACAGCATCAGGCTACACTACAGATAATACACTGTACCATCCTCAAGCACTGTATGTCTCTGACATCAAGACACTGCATTCTTGTAATCATGACAGATAAGATATATTTACAATGCGAATAAGACCCTGGACAGGATGTCAGTCTATCAGGGGGCGCATATGTGCACATACAAACAGTCATATTCCATGAGGAAATAAGAGATGACAATTAGCTTAAGTGCATGTCTTTGGGATGAGAAAGGAAACCTGCATGCCACAGGGAGAACATGCTAACTGCACACAATGGTGGTATTCTAACCCCCACACAGCAGATATGAAGCGGCAGTGATACCCACTGAGCCACTTACAAAGCTATACAGTAAAAAAAAAATTAAAATTCAAAAACAAATGCAGCCGAGCCAAGTTGTGTCGCATTTAAACATTTTAATCTACCTAATCCTACAAATCTTCCCCCCATTTTTCCATTGTGTTCAGCAGACAAGCGAATTACACCATTTATTTTTCCCTAGATACGTAATTTTCCATGTCATACAATAAAAACAAAATTTTCATATGCAAACAGTCCCTAATATTCTTCCAACACAGCACATTTCATTGTATAATCATGGATTTATAAAAAATAAAAAAATAAAAAATAAAAAACTTCGACCTCATCAGAAGCAGTACAGAGAGAATCTAAATTTTGAACTGTGCTATACAATCATTAGAAACATGTACTTGCAGAGAAAAGCCTTGGAAAAGATTCCCACTTCAAGCGAGAGCAACAATCTTACCTAATTTGACATCTCCGTCTAGGGTGAGGAGGATGTTTCCAGCCTTCAGATCCCTATGAATGACTTTATTGTCGTGGAGATAAAGGAGGGCTTCGAGGGTCTGTTTACACACGACTCGAATCTGTGGTTCAGTTAAGGGCCTTTCCAGTTCTGGAACAAAACACAATTTTTTTTTACATTCTTCCATTTGGGAGTTAGAGCCGCCTGTATGTCCTACACAAAGACCAGCATCTTTATGAACTTATTCTACATCTGGGCATCACACTCTAATGGATGCCACTTGTATTTAGCACAACATGTAGCGCCACAATGATTTACACTCGATGTTTTCTTAATAGCTTTATTTTCATGAGTCATAATCCAGTGAGTCTGAATGGCAATAAATAAACCTTTAAGATTTAAGACAAACTAATATTCAGAGAAGTATGCTTAAATTAAATGTGGAAAATACAGATTCCTTTCAAATAGGCAGACTGGTTAAAATACTGTCTAAACATTGTCAGTCAAGGATTATAAACACAGGGACACTTACCTAACATCACAGCATCTACAGCTCCCCCAGCACAGAACTCAATCAGAATCTGCAGCGATAAAGCAAATGTTTTTATTTAAGCAAAACAAGCGTTTACAAAGTTTACATAATGATATTTTACACTTTTGAGCCACAGCCTAAAAAATAATCAGTGCATCTTCAGTATTCTTCCATTTGTGTACAGTAGCAACCCCATTATTTTGAGTATGTATAGGCACAACAAGTTTTATTCTCCTCTCAAATGTTTTTGTCTAAACAATTCTTTCACATGAAGGAACTGATGAGACTCATCTTCAGGTAACTTTCAAATGAAATATTCATCCTCAAACAGGGTGCATAAGACATTGTTCTTTATGCTCACTGACAGTGATATTGTGTTGTATGAAAATTCTGAGCTAGGTGGTTAAAAACATTTGAAGGATATTTGTGAGTGATTTTCGACTAGAAAAATAAACCATCAGGACCAAAAAAAGTGAAATAAAAACGAAGTCTGGAAACACTTCTTAAGGAGCTATGCGATAGGGGCTAATAATGTGCATTGTGTGAGAGCATTCAAATCATTCAAAGCATTTAAATATTTCATGCTAACTGCCTCTCAGGAATAATGCAGGAAACAGAGCCTCAGTTAGAATGGCTGCTGGGGAAAAAGACATATGTACAGAGTACTGTGGACAAAGTCTCAGGCAGTCACATAAAATGATGTTTAAATGATCTTCATGTTGGTGTAAAACTATGATATTATGCCTGTCAAAGTGTGCAAGCTTAGCAATTTCAAAACCTCACCAAAAATCACCACAGCGTTTCCATCCAGTATACTCATGTAGTTTTTTAATCAAACACTACCCCACTTTGTCTGGCTAATCAATACCCCACTGAGTTTTTAACAAATCAAGTTAATCAACAGAGCTGATGGAGAAATTTAATGAATACAGAGAATGGCTGAGGTGCCCCTGAAGAGAGGTTTTGGAACCAAAGCAGAGTTTATCTAGAAATCCAACAAGATCTCAGTAACTTTTTGGAGAACACACAAAATTCTTGTTTATTTTATTTATTTTTTATTGTGTTACTGTTAATTTGCATGTTATAATGTACAAGTGTTTTTTTCACTGAGCAAATACACAATTATTACCAAGATAGTGTTAAACATCTTCTTTGACTGCTTAATAGATGCATGTGTGTGTATGTTTTTTCCCACCCTGAGTTTGTCAGTAGGCACCCCTGATATGCTTCGACCATTGCTTTTGAAGAAAGCAAGACATGTGCTTTTGAAGTTTGATTTGTAGTATTTTGTGATAAATGTTTCTTGTAAAGCCACAAATAAGCTCCAAGGGTCAAATAAGAAAGGGGCAGCACAGTGGTGCAGTGGTTAGCGCTGCTGCCTCACACCTAGGGAACTTGGGGTCAAGTCTCCACCCAAGTTCCAACTGTGTGCAGCTTGCATGTTCTCCCTGTTTCATCATGGGGTTTCCTCTGGGTACTCAGGTTTCCACCCACAGTCCAAAAACACACAGAGGTTAATTGAGTTACCAAACTGTAACTCATGTGTGCATGTGTAAGTGAATAGTGTGGGCAATGTGATAGGTTGGTGCCCCATTCTGGATTATTCCCTGCCTGACACCCATAGGATCCAGACCCCCATAACCCTGAACAGAGCAAGTGGTTACAGAAAATGGATAGACAGGGTCAAATAAGCTCCATCTCTGTTAAATTCACAAAATCATACTTAGACACGATAACATACTAATTATTTTCATTTAATGTTTGCACTTTATTTGTATTTATTAGAAAAAGAAATTCTCATGGGTACCCGTCAAAATATCATCTGCCTTAATCATTTATGAGCCAATCAAGAATCTTTAGAAATTGTCAAGTGATTGATAGGCGGGCTTGCAGTATGTTAAGAAAAGAAACGGCTCTCATGGTTAACAGTACTTAAAAGCCGACTTTACAGCAATACATATAAGGGATGCACTTATCCCTTAGCATCGATCAAGCATAATTGCCATTACAGTATGAACCTTACATTCCTGAAACCACCAGGGGGTGTAAAGTTTGTTTTTATGATTTGAATAGTATTGGACCTGTCAGCCAAGCACAGGGTGAGACAGCTTAAATTTATAATATCCAAAGAAAGAAAATGGGAGACAAATGATACAACAGGGAAAAAACTTCACAACTCAGCAACAATGTGTCTTACTATTCTGACTGCCTGTTTCACTCACCACATTATATTTCCATTGTTAGTAGTCAACTAAGCATGATTTTGACCATTTTTTAAAAATAGGTGGCACTGAAGCTACTAAAATGTAGTAACCCTCACAATCAGGTCATGGTTACATGAGTTACTGTTTTTGTTTTATTTGATATATCCCTGGATTAAATCTAGGAACGGGCCAATCCACATTTTTCAGTTCCAATGGGATTGATACAAGAGCTCTTCTTACTTTAATATTTTAATATAATAAATGTATAATATATTTAGACTTTATATATTAGTATTTTTTAAACTAGTAAATACAGATGAAAAAATGTATGGCAAAAAATCTTTAATTAGGCTACTAGAAACATACGTACTATACTGTTCCACCTCTGTTGTACATCTTGTTTTAAGCATTGAGGCATTTACAGTTCAATATGAATATCTTCCAAGCGAGGATATGCAGGTGGCAAAGGCTAAAAAGGCCGCACAATGTTTCTCCCTATGGTAACTGCGTCACTTACACATTATTGAGACAGCAGCCCCTCGTTTATCACAAGCAGTAGAGTGTGCATTAAGCTGCCTAAGCTGGCGACTCCCAAATCAGCCACTGCATTTACCCATATTACTCGTGTTGTCTCGCACTTGTGTGAGTTTGGCGAGTGGGATTTTCCACTAAATCCTACTCCCACCTCTCAAAACTTTGTTTTTACAAAGATTGCAAATCACTGTGTACTAGCTGCTGTTTAAAAGTGTACAATACTCCAAGATTGTCACCTTCTTATCTGATGTTCTTACGCTCCTCGTACCGCAAAGCCTATGCAAATGACGTCACAGCAGGCTCACAGCCATTGAGTAGCAGTGTTAGCGTTCAGCTTGAATGCCACAAAAAAAACACATCTAAAATGGGAAAGAGTTGACGTGTGATTGATTGTACAGATAGATTTAACAGAAAATAGGAGCTATGTTTTCAGAGACTGCAAAAAACTAGATGAGTAAGTATTGGACTTGGATTGGTTAGATATGGCCGATACCCGATCCATCAAAAAAGTCTGGATCGGCGCCTATACAGATTTGAATATCAGATTGGTGCATCTCTAACGAAATCTATAACAATGTTAGGGAAAACCACTGTGGAATACACGTGTTCCTGTTATCCATTTTAAATTAAGTCATTTGGAGCATTAGCAGTACAGTCACAAAATCAAATTTTAAATCTAAAATTTTAAACAACAGATATCACTCAAAATGCAGCAAAGGATAGTAACTAGCCTGTACCCAAAAAGTTCATGATTCAACTTTAGGAGAGAGTCAATTAAATTCACTGGAACCCAAATTGTTTTTTAAATCTACCCACATGATGGTTGACTGAAACATTACAACTGAGGTAGGTTATTACTGCAGTAGCACATGTTGGTAATGTCTCAAACTAGCAACAGTATATAATAAAAATATTGGGGGGGAAAGTTAACCTCTGTAAAAGGGAAACCATTTGATACCTAGACAATACAAGTTAATAAAAGTTTGATAGAAATTTCAGGTGCTGTTTACTTATGTAATATTTATGATGAAGTTTGCATGGACTTATATGATTAATCATCTAAGCAACTGAGTATTGAATGGATTTGCTCCTGTTTGGCCAGCGATGGAAGAGGTTATCTAATGTTTCACATAACTGCCTGCAGCAGATTTTAGCTCTCTGAGTAGGATTACCATTTTCCCACCCATACTTCAGAACTGAAGGATGACAAGGAACACAAAGAAGAAATGTGGTGATTAAAACCAGTGCGATACTGTTACCCTGCATTGCAAGAAAGAAGACAAGTTCTAGAGTGTACCAGATCAGAATTTAATACTGGAACAGCTTAGCGGTTTCCACAAAGATGGGGTAATTTCATATATCTATGTCACGATAAAAGGCAGTTTGGTTTAATATACCAAAAATTAAACAGTTGGTCAAGTCTTCAATGAGTAATGTAGTTTAATAAATCACAATCAAAACTGGCAGTTACCTAATGTCTTGACATCTTGTATCATACATTTCCCACAGGTGATCTTTTTTCAGTGAAAAACAAAAAAGCCACATTATTATACTTTATGTGGGAAAACCGGGCTCAGTGTGAAATGGGATCAGGAATCAGAAAGAAAGGCTCCTCTATTCATTCCAGACATTGCATGACTTCTGCTTCAAATACAATAGCCCACACAATCTACTCAGAGCCATAGTGGAATGAAAGGGCTGTGGTTTCCTCGCCCACACTGTAGATATAACCTCCGATGACCCAACGCTCACTTCTAAGAAGGCAGAAACAATGCAGGGATCAAATGTGCATCTGAGCCAGATTTTAATGTTCAAAACAGTCAAATCTGCATGCAACACACGCTCCGAAAAAAGAGCAGGGGCATTTGCTTAATAGCGCACAGAAAAACACAAACTGACCCACTGTGATGATACATATTCCACTGAGCAGTGCTACTCTCCCACTTCCAAAGGCACCATACTTAATGCACACTACTTTTTACACTAAAGTTTAAAAGGATGCTTATTTAAAAGACAAATGAAAGGGAAAAGGCAAAGGGGGAATGTTACCACTTTTCCTCTCAATGTGCATCAAGGCAGGAAACCTTTCAAATGTTTTGGAGTCAATAACTATAATCTCAGAGAAATTTTAAATACTTCATATCACATATCATGTAATTTGAAGCAGCCATTTTTTAAATTAATTAAAATAAGTTTCACATAAAAAGTTGAATGGAAAAAAATGATTTTCATCTAAAATATCTCAAACAAACATTTCAAAGAACACGAAACAGCTCAAAGGAAAAAAAATATACTTTAAAGTCCTCTGTGAGCAGCCATTACAAAACCCCAGGCTCACTGCTAATTTATTCATGAACACTTTCTCTAGTCTCTTGCTTTACCACAGTAACATACAGTACCACATAGGAGACTGCCCAAATCTATTTGAAATGTAGTACATTCAGATTTACCATGAGCATCACTGCTCAAGTCAGTGACAAGAACCATCAGGTACAATCTTTAACTAGGTCAGTATATATCACAAGCTGATACGTAAAACATTTACTCCTATACCATTTATCAGCAGGAGTCTGACGTAATGCGATATTCATTGTACTGTCGTACCTCCCAGAAACCCAAAAAAAAAAAACCACCCTTAATTCACCTGCTTCATTATTATTTGACGAACAACAGCGCTGAGGATATGAACAGCTCTCCCAGGTTGGAAGCATGACCGCGGCATAACGATGCCTTGTATGTTGGGATTGTGTTGGTGACCTTCTTTTTCATTACCCTCTAGGATTTGTCTTATTTCTGGGGTTCTCACGCATGTCTGCTCAGGCAGCAGTCACCAAATCCTACACATGGTTATATAGGATTAGGGTCCCATGATCAGTGACTTACCCAGAGTTTGTTCTCATAATAGAAGGCATCCAAGAGTTTCACGATATTGTGATGATCACATGATGCTAAAATGTCAATCTCCACCATGTAATCCTCCAGCTCTTCCTCACTCTTGGTGTCAATCACCTTAGCAGCAGCCAAAACACCAGTGTGCTTGTTCTGAGCCTGACAAACAGAATCAAATACAAATATTGAATTACATGACAGTACATGACAGTACAGCATTTAAATTTTAAAACGTGCTTACTGGCATGCATCTTGAAAGCTGCTGTGCAGCCCTATGTCTTTATTTCAAATGTACAAATATTAATTTGACCTCTGAAGTGCCCTAACCACAAAGATCTCCCAAGGAAAGTTCCCAAAACTGTACCCAGGCATTAATATTGGATAAATGCCCATGTAAGGAGTACTGCTTTATTCTGGCTCGGTAAAAGCTTTTTAAGATTTTACTTCTGCAGAAAACACATTAAACAGCAGACACGTGCAGCACCAGATTCCCTGTAATATTCATGAAACCAGAAGAGGCTTTTCGTCTTTTGAGTAGGTGGATCTTTGCTAACAAAAATACTCTGAAATCTGTGACTCATGTTTGAAGACAGAAAGCTTATTCTGTTTGCACAGAGTGATGTGTGGATTGTTCGAAACTGACAACTCTTAAAACAATTATGAAATAACCCAAAATTAAAGATTGTTGTACCAAAAGCTCAAGTACTCAATTTAACATTAAGTGCCTGAAGCTCAAATGGTTTGATATCATTTAGCAGTTTTTTCACACACTCGTGCAGAATACGATCATGGCCATTCCATAAAACTTTGCCCTAAACTTAAATTTTTAAAAGTTTAAGAACAAGATACTGTTTCTTTCTGTCCAACAATTTAAAGTGAACAGATAAAGTTCCACCACTGAAAAATTCATTACCCTTCTCTCTGCCCTCAGTTCACTACGCATTTTATAAGCACTGGCATTATGCATGAAAATTAGCTGAATATTACAAAATAAGCTTAGTCAGTGACAAGATTTACATAAATATTACTTAGAAATCTAAGATAACATTGCAATACAGCAGAACAAAATCATAATAAAGGGTTGTGAAATCAGAAATGTTTTTTAAAATCTCTGCCACTATTAAGAGTAATCAGTATTATCACTGAGTAAAATATATAACTATCAACTGAATTAACATAATTGAACACTGGAGGAGTGATAATATGATACCGAGTTACTCAGGTTTATAGGTTTATTTAGAATACACAAAGCTAATGGTTAGAAGTAAATGTTATTCTGAATACCATTAATATGAAAAACATGATATCTTATAACAGTCATATCAATCCAGCCCAACATTCAGATGAATTAATGCAGACTGATAACAGAAATGTCACAGGCCAGCCTACAGAAGAAAGATTACAGTATTTAAAAGGTATTAAGTCCATTTTATATTATAAAGTGTTAAACTGTACATTTACAAACATTATCAATGTGACATAAAATTAGATCATACGAACACATTGCATTAATGTTAACAGTAAAGTGAACGCTTATATGTTATAGTGGATCAAAAAACTAAACCACCACTGCAAAATAACGAAACATGCAAGACTGTTAAAACCACGAGGAACAAACAAAAAAAAACTTTAAGAAGCTGAGTTACAAAGAGTAACAGTATTTGAAGTAGGGTGGCATGATTCTGGGTAAAATATGAATCAGATTATTTTCTCCACTGAGAACTGAAATGACAAATTTCTCTCACGATTCTTTAACAATATATTTCTGTTATTATTTTTGCAAGACATATTCTCTTTATAAAAAGAGAACAAACAAAGGACACACTCCTGGTTTGTAACAACTCATTTCCAACTGCAAGAAATGCTAAACAAACCTTGTCTTCATTTTAACACCTACAAACAAAGGTTTTTTTCTATGTGTGCATGTCGGTATCTGTGTAAAAACACTGGAGTGACAGATACAGATACACTTCTCAGGATGTAAACCGAAAAAAATCCATACAAGTGAATGTGACCCTTTTTTTAGTATGAACACATTATAGTTTGAACTGAGGCTGGAAAAATTTCTCTCTTCTTTCTCACTGTTACTGGAAGGGTCTTCTCTAGTGTGAATCATTTTGTTGCTTTCAAAGTTCTCTCTTTCACCATGTCTCACACGTTAATTTTGTTTTCAAAAGAGCCCACTCTTCCAGTGCACAGTTAGTGACATGGTGTAATGCAGTGTTGTCATCTATCGATACAGCTTAATGAGAAAAAGGGAGCACTTGGTCTGATGCAATGGTTCTCCCTGCTAATGCAAACACAGTAGGATCATTATCATGTAAGAATGAGATCACATAGGGCTATGAAAAAACGATTAATCACGCAGACTTGACCATTTTACTTAGAGTGCAAGTGGATCCAGTTTCAGATGAATCCAACCGCATGATTTAAATCACCAAGGCCTGAGGCAAATCCTTTGTATTTTTCTAACCATTCCAATCCACCTCACACTCATGCAGCAAAACATACAAACAAGCAAAGCAACATTGCTTTCAGCACTATGGCCTTTGATAGAATATTTATTTACAAATCCTGTTTCATAACTACTTTAGTCACGTACATGTTTAGTCCATGTAAATGTTAGAGTACTACTTTGGGAAAAAATAAACACTTCCCAAAACAGAGACAACGTATATAGAGAAAAAAGAATGATCATCATTAAGATTATGCTTCAGCATGCAGATCCATATATTTAATGAATTCATTAGGGCACACTTCAAAAACTACATTTTCAAGGACACCAAATGAAGACTGGGATAAATATGTTTGACAGAAAACTATAGAGAGAGACTATTTTGGTGAACATGATAGGAAGGGTGAACTGTCATTAAACAATCATAAGTTTTCACACCCACTTATTTTTCTATCTAATGGAAAATTCCATGGTTTAATCTGCATGTGTCCTGAATCAACCACGACTGCTCAGTTTACGCACTTTCATTTATATAAATCACAGTTTTGAAAAATCAGCCAAGCACATCAAATACCAAATAAACTGTACTTCAACCACTGATTCCTGGCCAGGAATTCAATTAAGAACAAATTATGCCAATGTGGAAGGGTGAACGCAAATACAGTGGTACCTCAGAACTCAAACTTAATCTGTTCAGAACTCCGGATCGAATCCTAAAACGTTTATGTTCTGATCAAATTTTCCCCATAAAAAATAATGGAAAACCAATTAATTGGTTCCCAGCCCCAAAAAAATTACACCTAAATATGTTTTTTTTTTTTAGAATTTAAACACAAAATGAACCGGATAAAACAAGAAGAGCATATACTGTACTTAACACATCTAAGCACATTTATCAAAACAGTAATTTGTAAATTAAGAAAATAAATGTATCCAAACAATGTGTACAGTTAAAAAAAAAAAAAAAAACCCCAATGTGTCCTGCCCCAATCGTCCGCTCCTTCCGTGTGTCACGCCCCCTCGTTAACGCCGTGTGGAATCCCCGTGTGATCAGCTGTTTCTGGTTGTTGTCATTAGTCCTCTGTATTTTGTCCACGTTTCAGTTTGTTTCCCCAGTCCAGTCATTGTATTGTCCGTCTGCGTTTTGCCTGCCTTACCTGTAATTAAATCCTGTATTCCCAGATACCCTGACATCTGCGTCTTTGTCTCCGTTCCGTCCCCGCTCGGCACGACAATATTATTATAATTAAATCTATTAATGGTTTATTATTAATATTAAAATAATTAAGAAATCTTTATTTTAAAATGTATTTTATTATATAATAATTACTGTTACTGTCTATCATTGTCTAAATGTAGTTTTACTGTCTAAATATATGTATTCAGCTAGTGTAAACATGCACGATGCTATCACAGCGAATCACCCTTTGATTCAGGTGAGAGACATGCCGCGTGACTCATTTCCCCGCGCGCACAAGTTATCTTAGGTCGGCGTTCACGGTTTGACTTCTGAGATTCAGATTGAGTACTAGGTAATTTTTTTCCGAACTGGTTGGTTCGACTTTTAAAAAATTCGAGTTCTAATGAGTTCGAGAACTGAGGTACCACTGTACTGCTCAAAGCCTTTTCCTGTTCATTTACTAAGGACTGTAAAGGTTCATGTGGACTTTGCACATCTTTTATAGATGATAAAAACATGATAGAAACCAATTTAATTGGGCCAATGAAATACTAACAAAGATTCTGTGACTTTGCCATACAGATCTTACATTTTTATTACAAACAGTGCTTTACTATAGTAGGATGTAAAATATAATTTTCTAAAACAATAACATGCAATACTGATTTAAATTTGAACATATGTGAATGATGTTCAACTTTGTAGGGGGAAATATCTGACATTTTAGAATTCTTAGAGTTGCTCATTTGGGGAAGAGGAATGTACACAACTATAAAAGGAATTTAAATCTTCAACAACAGGACTACTCAGAATTAATCTATAGGTAATATTAGTATAACACCTCCATCCATCCATCCATCACGTTATGGGTGGGGTGCATCCTATTCCAAGCTTTAAACGGCACAAGGGAGGGGTACTAGATGCACCATACGTGCGTGAACATTTAAATGTCCTTAAATATTTCAATACTTTTATTCCATCTGCATCCAACTGCATAAAATGATTTTCCCACGACGTACACAATTCTAATAAATACCACTACGCCACTGAATATACTTATATAGAATACAACGCAGAGCGCTGACTATACTCTGGCGTAGGAAAAATGACAGACTACACAGATTGCTACTGTCATCATCATGACGGCAAATGTCAGGGCCAGTTTTTTTTTCACAGCTAGATATTCTTTTGCGCCTACACAATGACAGCTATTTCACTGTTGTTTATGTAAGTTTCCAGAGAGACTTAGTATAATCCTGGCAGCGTTATGGGTGCGAAAAAAACGCTGCTTTCCTGAATATGGTGATGATCAACATTACGTGCTGACTCCTACAGAGATGCAGCGCTTGATGAAACAGCTGATGCTGAAAATCAAATGCAGCGACTGGAGCAAAACGGACCAGCATCGAGTTAAGTGTTGAGCAAACAAAACCAGCATGTAAAAAAACAACGTGTTCTGGAGAAGAAAAAAAAGTTAATTCAACTTGCAGGCAAAACACATAGACAGTATTATATTAACCTTTGTTCAACCAGATTCGTGAAAAAGAGTGCGAACTGTGAATATCGTACTCATTTCAAGAACACTGTGAAATCCTTAAAAAAAACTGTATTTACCCTGTAGACTTTTCCAAATGCGCCGTCCCCCAGTTCGCCAATGATCTCCCACACTTCCTCTGGATTCAGGTCTCTGTGGACATGCTCGTACTGTTTCTTCTTCTTCTCCATCCCGAGTTTAAATATTTTACGAAAATTGAAAAACGACATTTTCAGCGTTTCTTTGCCGTCCTTAGATCAGCCGTATCTGGGGTCCCTGGTTTCTGTGCTGACAGCCTATAGTATCACCCCTCAGCTAACACGCTCCCAAAAGCATCAGATCGCAGTACGATAGTTTAACATGTATTTGGCGTTAAGCACACAAATACTGTGAACTCAGAACTCGTTAGTCATCTTTGAACAAAAAGTTACATTGCTAGCTAGCTACTTAGGATGCGTTACTTGTGTGGCTGTAATAGCACCAGGGTCTAACGGTATATTTCTCTTGTTGTAAAACAATTTTTAAAATCTCGAGCGAGCTTCTAATAATCTTTATAAGCGTCTCCTTTGCGTTTCTCAGAATAGACGCTTCGAAAACAAAGAAAAAAGACAAGCTGACGTCGTATTTCCAATCGTCGGCTGCCTGTCAGTATGTCAGGGCGAAATTGAGAATCGTTCCTTGTTCCTCAAACTCCCAAGAACAACCGGGAGCTCCGGCCCAACTCGGTTTCAATTGGACCTTAATCTATGTCTCCACCAAATAGGTGGAGGAAAAAACTATTAGGTTACGTTTTACAAAAAGTCGTATTCTATCAAACGGCACCATCTTTACTCAAACAAAAATAAGATACATAGGTATTTCCGTCCACCTTCGCCACGGTCCGCTGCTGCCGCTACTGATGGAATAGCCGCGAGCCGCTTAGGAGCGCGTGCACATCTCGCGCAGCCGCACTTCTCCGCACCATTGCTCGTGGACCAAGCGGTGGATAATGTTCATTCGCCAACTGGTTTTCAAAATATACTTTTACAAACATTTGGCACAGCACAGGCTCTTTATTCCCCTTCTTCTCATGTTTTCTCAAACTTTCATGTACTGTTCCAAAACTGCTAAAAGTGCGAACATAAACAGCTGGCGTCCACACGTATACCATGTAAAATGGTATTTCATTTAAGGTTCGTTGTCGCCACCTACGGGACATGAGTCCGATCATTTATAAGAACTAAGAAGGCTTTGAAACGCAGCAATGAGCAGTGTGTGTGTCTGAAATCATTGCAAATTAGTCATGTAGCCTATTTATCGGCCACAGACACCACATATGCAATTAAGTAATATAATACCTTTAGCAACATTCTAAAGTAAATAGAACAACAAAAGCTACCAACACATTTTGGTCCATGTTCCGATCTCCATTATTCTTGAAACAATAAAACATCCGGTCTTTCCTTTCCGGTTTTTGACATTAATTTAACGTAAGATCAGTAGATCACCCAATTAGAAATAAATAATAAAAACAGTAATCCAACTCCACATACCTTACTTTTCAAGCAACATAAATCCTTTAGATTACAGGACCAAACTACCATCCATCCATCCATCCATTCATCCAGGACAGGCTCACAATGCAATTAGACCCTTGTCAAGTATATTGCACAAGTGGGGAACAGTCTGAATGGGCCGTCAGTTCAACGCAAGGCACATACAACTATAGAAAAGATACCAGTTCACTTAACTGGTTTTGGAATGGCAGCGATAAGCAGAGTAGAGAGATAAAGACTAAATTGATGTTATACCTTTGAGAAAGCTACTTAAGTATGCATTCTATACATCCAGAATAAAATTTAATTATAGTCTTGTAATCCATACTTTCCTAGAACCACAAAGTATTTTATAATAGAAATGATAATATGCAGAGGTGGGAAGTTCCGGTTCAGGAAGGATGGAGAATCCAGACCAAGGTTTTGTATCAACCAACCAGTTGAGTACTCTCTGAGTGCGACAGTTTCTGCTCCACTGGTTGGTTGAAACAAAACCTTGGTCTGGATTTGTGCTTTCTGGACCTGAACTTTCCAACTCTGATAATAGGACGTATAGAGTGGAATACTTGAAATATATATATTTCATAATATTGACATAAAAACAGCTTACAGTACGATAAAATCAGTAAAAGGCGCATGGCAGGTTAACACTGTAGACGACATGCTCATAAATATAAATTTCTCCAATTTCATTCCCCCCCCAACTTTTACTTTGAAATCTTGAATCCGGAAATTCAATATAGCCGCTACCCCATTTCCGGCATAAGCAAACGCGCCAGTCACTCCAATGGAGTGAAATATTTACCGGAAAGTAGCAGGGAGGGTAATTTAATCTAAAAACTCATCTGAAATAGGTTCATTAAGAGATCTTTCATTAAGGCGTATACATGTCTTTTTTTATGTCATCCGTCTTGTTAATTTAGCCTCCTTGTTATATAGTTAGCAACAGAATTTACTTTATCGGAATTTTTAAAATAGCATTTTCGCTTGTTTTTGATTTTGCCTAGACCCCGCAGTATCGGATATGCAATGCAGACAGAGCAAGGGGAACATGAGCCCAGCTCCCTGCTCTGGGGGCTAGATCCCGTGTTGTCCTCCTTTGCTAAGCTTTATGTTAAAGATATTTTACGTATGCGGGAGTCCTCTCAGATCCCAGGTAATTCAACGATCTTTAACTACAATGCATCAAACTGAAAATGACAGCAGTAGAACTAAGTGGAATGGAGTAAATTATACTTTTGAAATCCATTTTGCTGATCGGAATTTTTGAATAAAATTGTGGATTGCTTGTTTAGAGTTGGTTCTTTTAAAGTAATTTTCTTTATTTACTTATTTTCCAATTTCACAGATGTTTATTTTTACAAATGTCACCCACTTTTTAAAGTTGATGTTTTGGGGACCGTTGTATATAAACGAGAGAGGGAGGACTTCTTCTGTTACGGAGGTATATTTTATGATTTTGGCTAAATTATGCATAATAGCAGCACAGCTACTTCTTGTAAAACATGATTTGTCGCTGCTGCAAATATTACGTGGCGTAATATCTTTTATTCTGCAGTTGATGACGGAACGGGTGTTATAAATTGCCTCTGTTGGAAAGACGAAAAATGGAGAGAAAATACAGACGCAGTAAACTGTAAGTACTGCTCTTTTAATTTCAGCAGTCGTCATACACGTTGTAGCTCCATATCCGTGTTTAAAGCAGTTCCTTTCAAAATAATAGTATGTCATTATTGTCAGTCACTTTGGTGTATTGTTTTCAGCAGGAGCTACTTTGCAGGTGTCAAATAAAGGAGGGTTTAATCCTGTGGAACAGCTGAAGAAACTGAAGTTGGCACAGAAATTAAGTGCCCAACTTGAAATTGGAGACCTGTTGAGGGTCCGAGGGTCGGTCAAGACTTCTAGGGAGCAGAGGGAGATCATGGCCTGCAGTTACTGTAAGAAGTCAAAAGACAGCAGACGCTGTACAGCTTTGCTTGCTGTTCCCTTTAACCGATACATGCATTCATCTTCAATCTTTGCAGCAATTGAATAACATGTTTAGACATAACAGCTGAAACTTGGGTTTTCCTTTGTGGATTTTTCTTACTATTACAGGGTTGCCAACTCTCGCGCATCTGGCGTGATATTCATGCTTTCAGACTCTCATGTACACACAAAGAAATCTTACAGCAAATCTATATTGTACAGTTAAAAATCTAAAATTATCTACATAAAAGCATTGGGGTAGTTTACACACCCTGCCGACTATTTACAAGGCAATAGAACTGTTACATACATGTAAATGTGTGTGCATGTGTATGCAGACTTGTCTCGAATTGAAAATATCATACCAACCTGCTGACTAAAATGGGCAACCCTGTTGTTATGTACCAATCTGTAGGCCTTGATGCAGTTTACAGATTCTTGCCAAGGCACTGCAGTTCCATGTTAGCTTTTTTTATGTTTCCCAATCACTCCTTTTGCTAGTAATAGAGATACACTAGTCTTTCTCGAACCATAGCAACACTGCCATCTTATGGGAGCGGATTGTTTGTTAGGTGTCTCAATCTGTGAGCCTATCTTCGTCTGTTATAGATAAGGTGAACGACCCAGTGATGGAAGTGCAGATATCGTGGATGATGGAAGTTCTCCACCTATATCGGGATTTCTATGACAAACCCTTCCTCTTCACAAAGAGCGTGCAGCACTTGGACACGGCCGAGTATGTTACTGAGAAGCTTCCACTTGCATTTCGTATTGCTCAAAGTCCAAAAAGGGACTAATTGTTAATGGTACATATAAAACAGGGTTGGGTAGATTGTAGTAAGTTTTTTTTATGCATTGTAAATGACACAGCCACCTGGCTAATACTCATCCTTACACAGAGGAGATGACCTTCTGCGCTCGCTCTCCGTGCTTCGACGGGCTTCTCGGCTGCTTATGAGCTTCATTAGAGAAAAAGGCCTTGGAAGCTTTCGGCCCAAAGATGTCCAGCACCTTCTGATGCCTCTGCTGTCCTGTGCTCCCTCCTGCAGCACAACACAGCAGGTGAACAGTCTATATATTACAGTTCACACAAACCCAAATACCCATATATTTTACATTGCAACCAAAATGTGCAGGGATGCTATGTTAAGCTCAGTCATTGGATGTGCTATCCAGATAAATGGATAGATGGGGGATTATATTATGATTTATCATTCACCAATGAAAATGTATGAAGGCCTTTGTCCGGGGTGGACTGGGCATCTGGCATATCAGGCAATTTCCTGGCGGGAACCCCCCTGGGTTTGCAAGATGCCCCCCCCCTCATAATTTAATACTAATTGTTAGGACAGGTTTCCTAATAAGTACTGTGGTAGCTTCAAGGTCTCTTTAACCAGATTATTAAGGGCTGAAAATATGTGGTAAGAAGCTTCCATTTATCTACAGACAAATTACACACAGGATATATATTATTAACTTGATGGAGACCTTGAGTATCACTACAGGTGACGTATTTCTTATTTTGACTGTCCCTCAACAGGATTATGCTATTTAAGGTATATCTTTGTTTCTATAATGTTGATTTTTACAGTGCATTGTATCAGCACCTAATATCCTGGGATCTGAAATAAATACACAAGTGAACGACTTTTCCCTTATATTTTTAAATTGTAATATGCTGCTAAAATATCAGTCTTTTGGATATTAAAACTTTATTATTATTATTTTTTAGGAATCTACTGTGGCACAGTCATCTTCAAAGCAGGTTCATCACCTCTTTCGAGATGTTATAAAGGCGCTTCAGGATGAGGGCCTGGTGTTTCGCAAAGTCATATCCCAGGATGAAGTCTATCAGGCAAGCTTGTGTCTTCCAGATGTGTTTATAGAACTTCAGGATACCATTTTATCTTCAGAAAATGCAGCTTTTGAACCTGTCTAAAAGTGCTGTGCTTCCTCTCTGTGTTTGTTTCTCGGCCAGGTAACAGAGCAGGACAAAGAGCTGCGGAGAGTAACTAAAGACATAGTTAGGGAAGATTCCGGACGAGAAAAATGTGAGCCATTCATTTTAGCACATTGTCAGTCGGTCTGTTCAACAGTGATCTGCTTAGTGTAGTGGTATTCAACTTTCTTTTTGACAGGGCTGATGTATTTGTGACATATTCAGTACTTGGTGCTTGTCTGTTTTACATATTTTAATTTGTTAGCGTCATATAATGTGTACCAGCATACAGTGTGTTCATGTTACTTTTAATATTTTTGAAGGCTACAATTTTCTAGATCTGCCCCCAGCTCAAACCCCCACACAGTTGTTTTTTTCCTCTCACCTGCACCCCCAACCCCCCCCCCCCACCCCACAATTCCTTTGTGTCCCACAGTTTGAATGCCTCTAGCTTGTTGTATGTGAGTTTTGTCTACATGCACTCTAGATATTATGTACAGTTTCAGTACTATTTGAAAGGTCCTGGGTGTGTCATTACATGAATACTTGTTATCGGTTGTATCTGAAACATTTCATTGCTGTTTCGTAGATGCTGAAAAGGGCTGCCATGTCTTGCACATTCTGTCATGCGTAAGACAGACCTATAGCCGAAATGTCAGCAAGTCAGTCATCGAAATGGTCCTGCGGTGCCTGGAACGTGACAGTGAAATCTTCAGCACAATAGACCAGAACCACTACAAGTACATTAGTGTGACAGACTAACATCTTGGATGACCAGAGAAGGCCAAAGTAGTGCATGGACTTCATTTAGTAATAATGTCACTCTGTTTTTCTGCTACTATTATTTTATAGCCCTGCAACCTTGAATGGGATAAGGACATATAAAATAATATTCATCCATCTTTAGGTATTACCTTAGTATGCAAATAAATCATGGTATAAACAATGGAATAATCGTCTTCTAGTGCCGGTTCAAAAACATTTACATTTTTAAATTTTAAATATTTTACTGAAATCATGGACCTTGTTGGTATTTTTTCACTCGCCACTAGACGGCGCTATTCAGCAAACTAGGCATTCTACGCGGTCAGGGTGAGCAGCGACATATTTTCTGATTAACTTTCGACTCAAAAAATATGTTTTTTGGTGATTATGGACTCTTTTTTTGCTAGCTTAATAACAATGCATTTTCTGTTTAGCAGATGCAATTTTCTAACCTATGCCTGTCCGCAAACATGCCTTTTTATTAATAAAATCACTGCCCCAGTCTGTATGAAAAGCTTGAAAGTGTATTTATAGGTAATTATTGAGCCGATATCCGTTTGATTTTATCCATCCATTTCCCATAGTCGCCTGTCCTATACAGGATAAGGAGCGCATTAACTTATTGCATAAAATGGCTAAAACTTACTTTAAAAACACCCAAGTTGGTAATATATAACGTCAGTTTAGATAAATGTAAATAATGAGACGTTCATATTTTATTTTTGAAATGATCAATTTAAACATCTTTGCCAATAAAAACCTTACTAGGAGAGAGATGAGCCGTACTCATTACCAAGCACCGTCCAGCCCCGTTTCTTGTGGCGGTGCCTGTGATCTGGCCAGCCAAAGTGGGATCCGTGTGGGCTGGCGGTAAGCCCATCCCATTGCCCGAACAGCTTCCTGCTCCACAAAGACAGCCAGCCATGCCCCAAACATCCAAACCGCGCTTCGGGCATTAGGGTAACGCGCACACCGGCATTATCCCCTTGAAAGAAGCACACATAAGAACAACATTAGGGGGGGCAAGAGAGTGTCAACACAAAAGAGGTCAATGAGTTAAAGGCTGGAGCGTTTTCCACGCGACCTCCGGTTATACTCCCTGTAGCAGCGATCGGCGGAGTTGGATCTGCATTCATGTTGTTAGATGAGTAAGGCTAGATCATAGGAAAGGTCCTGTCTGGAGTATGATCACATACATCCTCAGGGTATAGATACATAGTAACAGCTATAAAGGCAACTCCTAGGCGGACGCTCGCATTCTTCATCTTCGGCTCAGATCATTTTGATTCCAGTATCTCATCTGCTGCCTCTGCTGGAGTTTGGAGTAAACAAACAGCGTTTTCGGTGTTTGATTTTCCCCGTTTTCACTGAAAAGATGCAGTTTCGGACGGTGGTGGATGTGAAAGTTGTGGATGTAGAGAAGAGGCGCAATCCGTCTAAGCATTATGTGAGTATGTTTAGCCACTGTTATGCATTTGGGCTACTTTGAAATGTGGTTTTTTTTGTAGTCAACCGCTCTTTGTGCTCTGTCCCAAGCAACTACTGCATGTTTTGCAACTTTATAGAAAGCTGTGATTTTCCAGACACCTCAAAATAAAATGCATTTATTGGGATAAATGAATAGAATACCTCTTTAACTTGCTAATTTTATAAGCCTGAATTGATATGCATTCAATTTTTAACCTGCTATATATGCTGTGTATTTATTTAGAAGTGCAAGACACCCTGGAAACCACTTTAAATATGGAGCTATAGATTCAATTAAAAGACTCGTTTATCGATAGACTCTCCATGTTTTGCTAGACGCGAGCAGTAGGGCTTGTGTAATCGCTTGTGAGAGATACATTGACTTCTGCAAGCTATAACCTGTCCTGCCGTGATTATTATAACAATAGAGAAACAGAGGTTCTGGTAAAAACAAAGTGGGTCATGAATGCCATTAGTGTGCCTATTAGCCCTCGTATATTAAACCTTATTCTGCATAAACCCTGAGCAGTTACCCAGAAGCAAACACCACCTGAAGATCCAACCACACGGCGTTTTTGCTCAGACCCGTTTCCAAGGGCATCCGATTTTGCAAAATGATTCAATTTCTGTTTCTGTCTCTAATGGATTGAAATTGCCTTCGTCGTTATTCTATGACCCGACTGGATTGTGGACATTGATTGATTACTTTTAACAAACGATATCCCAGAGGTTCCTTTCACGCTCTTTTCATTTAAAGCTTTCAGTGTGCTTATTTGACAATGTCTTATTTGAAAAACTGGAATAATCCAGTTACAATAATAATAATGATTGCACGATAACTTTAAATATTATGAACGACAGTTCATGTATATATTTACACAGAAATTCAATGACAGATAAATATAAGTAAGGTATAAATAACATGGAAATCACACTGCCATTCTCAGGGAAAGATTTGCATCGCAGTCCTAAAATGATTCTTTATCTCAAGGTTTTTCAGTAAACTAATGTGGGTAAAGTCATTCCCTCTTTCTAAACATTCTGAGTACTTTATTAAGGTATCAAACTTTTTTGTAAAATGGCTGGAAGTACTTACTGTATGGGAATAAAAACAAGAAAAAAGAAAAGCCAGTACATACAAATAATTGTAAATTGGGGGGGTGGGGTGCATCTGGCAGCAAGCAGATAATGTAGTGAACAACACTTCCTTCAATAAAATGGATTGGTGTAAGAGTGATGAAGAGTGTTTCTGTAATGAAATAGAACTTGTGTCATTTTCACTTAAATGTGGGAAGTGTAATTAGCCAACGTCATGGATCCTCTTTTTGTCTTTGCAACATCTTTGCATTTACCATTATTTCTAAGAAATGACTCAGCTATTGCTGGCTAGAGCTTTGCTTTAATTACTAGGCTGGTGCATGTTTTCAGTTGGGTTTTGAAGATAATTCTAAACACGATGTATCTTTTGTCAAGTGGCAACTGGCCGCTGAAAAATGTCCGAGTGAAGGCTAATTGCTGGCTGGCCATTGTTCCCTGGATGATGGACGGAGCTCGCAGGAAAAGCTCCGCTGTTGTAGGGTGACTGAGTCAGGACCGGTGTTGACGTCCTCATGAAGTCACTGTGCTTGATCACCACAGACTCACCATGATTGCTGGTGAGAATGTACTGCTGGTGCAGAACTTTACTTGGGCACATCTGTAGGGCAGCTTCAGGATGTAACTTGTTGATAATCCTGAACATGATCTGCTGAAGAATTACAGTGAGCTTGGCTTGTTTTAGCTAGCCCGTCTGCACTCATGCAACTTTCTGTCGTATGTTACTGCACTGCACCGTTGTTTTGATAGTATTGCAATTGCAATCCTCATTGCAGTTGTTACCAAGCCAAAATGATTGCTAAACATGGAAAAAAAGCATTAACCTGTCAATAAGAATTGATGCTTGTGCCAGTTCTCCTTGTGCCCAGATAAACATTCTCACTTGCCCTTGTGAGAGAGAGATGTCATGTTATTCATTAATTTGTTATTGCAGGACGGTCTCCTGCAGACTTAGTCCAAGTCAATATTTCAGATTGGAAAAATATTATATCTGGTAATGGAATAGGTCTTTTAAGAATCTTTTTGTTGGATTTTTGGTGTATAAGTTACCATGTGTTGATGTTATTGACTTTCAATGTTTATTAGAGTTATGCAGTCTATAAATTTATTAGCAATATTCTGATTTTCTACTTTGGAAGAATTCCCTACGCTAAATGAGAAGTGACAAGCGATCATATTCATTAAGTGAATGTAGTTATAAAAACAGGGTGGTGGGTGATAAAATAAATAAATAAATAAGGGCCACATTGGTTGAACATGGAAAAGCCAGCGAGTTCAGAAAGGAAGGGTTCGCTGAATCAACACTTTTTTTTATATTCCCCACAGGAAGATGTAGCCTGGCAAACAGCATTTCCTGTCCCTCTCGTAGGATAGCGGGGGGAGGGGTAATTGGTTGGAAGCAAAATGATCACAAAACGGGGGGAGCAGAAGCAGGAGAGTGGCTCTTCACCAGAGCAGCATGGACTTCACTTAAATTGTCTTGCATGTCTTCAGAAATACCTGTTTTTTTGTGTTTTTTTTTTTTACTCTTGAATGTTTGTTTATTGATGTGGGGAAGCAGTGCACTGGGGATGTGCTTGTCTGGTATAGTGACGTCACTTAAGGCAGTAATATCAAACTTCCTGCTGTCTTTGTCGTACACAGTTTGCTTCCCACTAAACTGAGAGCCCATTACAGTGTGGTTTAGCTTGAACAAAGGTATTTCCCAAATGAAAAGTTTAAAGTTTGGGTTTCCCAAAACGTAGCGTAGGATGGAATGCAATTAGCATTTTTGGTTTATTCTCTGTGATCATTTCTGGGCACGGCGTTGGACTCCTCTTGGGCCTGAAACGGTTAACTGTAGTCCATGTTAAAAATACGGTTGTTCTGGTTTTACACATTACTTTATATATAGAAGCTTAGGCGGGTTTCAGCACACAAAGTGGCTTGGCTCAAATACTCAGCCCCACCAAGAGTCTTACTAAGGCTCCCTTCCAGTGGCTATAGCAGTGAATCTGAGGATTAAGTCCAGCTCATGCAGTAAGTTGATTCTTCTCTTGGTTCTGTGTGCATATATTTGTCACAGATTGTCATATCTGTATGTGGGACGGGCTGTTTTATAACCTGAAACGGTTGGTTGATGCGTGCCTATTTTTGGATCAAAGCTGTGAAAACATGGCTACAGTAGACGTGTGCTTACTCAAAGCCAAGACATAGCTCATCGCATAATTATGGGAAAATGATAGAAATGGAAGGCGCATCCATACACAACCGATCCTCCTCACCGTGTTTGAATTAGGTTGTAGGGTGTTTGTTGTTTCATTGTGTCTTAAATGAGTTATTGCTCTGAACTCACTGAACGTGCAAACAAATCTTTTTTTTTTCTTTTTTCCCCCAAGCCAAAATCTAACTGGAGAATTCCCCTAGCATAATACTTCTGGATTTGTTTGAAAACATTTGATGTTGTTACTTTGTGAGTTTCAGCCTTAGATGCTAACCAATCAATGAAAGCATTGTTGGAGGAAAATTTCTATGTTTATGTGGGAACTTGCGGATGAGTATTTTATTAGTCTTGTAACAGCATTACACTGAATTAAAATTGTTTTATGTGCTTATTAAATTTAAGTAAAGTCACTACAGTATAATGGATATGACATGGCACTCTTTTGATTTATTTTGCTAATCATACATTTGCTGGTTGGCTTAGTGATTAGCTTCAGAATGAAACTTGCAGCTTCGTCCGGGAGATGCAGCGTTAGTTGTCTGTAGATTATTATTGCCATGCAACGGCCTGGCACATCCGATTATACCATGTGAGTTAGCAGAAATTAGCTGAGAGCCATCAGTCCAAAAGGAAATGTGTTTCACATTTGCACTCTGCAGCCTTTAATAGTTTATTCTTTTATGGCTGTAGATTCTGTTAATTGAATATCCAGTGATATTCAGTTGAGGAAAATCCAAAGTAAGTACTAGTTAGACCTGGGTTTTTATTGGATAGCTATTTGGACCTGCTGTTTGTCATTGGATAGACACCTCGTGGAAGACTGTTAAATTGGGTGTGTTTAGCTACGATGTTTCTTCTGTCCTTGGCCTGGGTTACACATTGTTTTCATAACCGTACCCCGCCCTGCCCCCCGCCCAAATACATACATAAACACATATGAGATACACTGTAAACTAATCTACCATGTGTAGTAACACAATAGATACAGTCACATTTATTTGTTTGTTTGTTTGTTCATCTGCTTATTTATTTGTCTGTTTTGTTTATTCATTCTTTTTTTTGTCTGATCAGACCTACACTAGGTCTAGGTTTTCCTACCTGGGGTACTCCACATAATTACACAGACGAAGTCATGAATTATTCTATATTCTTGGCTTTAGTGGGTGGGCTTAGTGGGACATTGAGAGCTAGATTTAGGGATGTCTTCCCAATTTGCTGTATTAATATTACAATCCCTAACAATAATAACGAAGTAGTTATATAAGAAAATATTTCTTGTGTATACAGCTGACATAATTTTTTATTGTGATGATTAATATATATGTATTACTAAAGAAATAAAAACAATGCCAAGATTAAATTTCAAATTGGATATGGTTTGGGAAATAATATAAAACAGCTGTCTAAGTGTGTTTGATTTCATACTGTATTTTAAATATCCAGACTTGACTTGGTTTTAGGAAACAAGCCACTATACCTATACTGAATGACTTTGCCAACAATTTAACATAAAATGTTTATGTTTGCAACCTCTGTGTTATTCAGGACTGCTTTTATTTCCTAATTGCCTAATTTAGACCATTTGGTTGTGCAGTCTGTAGGAGATTATATCCTGGGAAACAATTCAGCCATGTTGCAGTATTGTGTATAAAACGTAATCATAGATCAAGAGTGATTTCAGTTTTTGGCCAAGTGAGACTAACATTTCAGTGAAATGTCTTAAAGGATGCTTAAACGTGTGTGGATTTGAAGAATGCCAGATTGAGGAGAAATGAGATACTTATAGGTTATAATGTAGAAAAAAATAAATACTGCTTATTTAATTACTGTCCTGGGAGATCTAAAGTGGAAGGAACATACTTGGGGAGGCTTCACTGTCTGATACTCATTAATCGAAGTTTGACCTAATTCATTAGGGAGTCTTTTAAAGAAATTTCAAAGCCAAACTGGACTGAGTTTACTTGCAGTCTCGCTGCTATGTTCTAAGATATTACATGTTTTTTTTATATGCCCTGGAACATCACACTTATTTATGCGTGTATTTGTACTGAGGTTGATTCATTTCAGTGTGGTGTTATCATTAGTGTGAAACAGCAAGCCGTCTTTCTCTGCTTGCCCATTACATAATAATATATTAAATATATATAATGATTTTCCAAATTTCCCAATATATATATTTGACCTTGCGGGGAAAGTGTTAAATTTGAGCCATTAGGGAAAATCATAAAGAGCAATTCTGTCCATGATATCTTTGCATGTCGAGTGGTTTTAAGCTAATGTTGTGAGCCCTAAAGTGCACATATACACCACTGCTATTTAATCCTGCAACCACAGAATGAAACTATGTATCCACATTGTCTGGATATAAGGTAAGATAATACAGATGCGTATCGATCTCCCCTGGGGTGGGGGGTGTTTTATGTCCAGCAGAATTGCCAAAATAACTCCAAGCAAAACAGACAAATAAATAAATAGATAAACAAACGTATAACTAAATAGTAAGAAAGTGTATAGTACAGTACAGTGGAGGTGGTACTAGTGGGATACTTGCCCTCCAATACATCTGGCAGAGACACCTCACTGGCCGGTACTCTGAAACGGGAACTGTCCACACCCACATACTCAGCATTACTCACAGAATCGCATGCAGTCACATGGAACAAGTTCCAGTTTCCCCTTAAGTCATATATCATGTGAGCTGCAGTGTGATAATGCGCCTCCTGCTGGTCGGAGAAAGGAATCCGCCGATCTTCTCCCCCGCGATGAAGTGGGGAGAAATACTCCAAATGTCAATCTGCCGTCACTCTGGAAGGTTGATGCACCAGAAGCCGAAAGTCAACGGGACTATTTAGAGGCTTCGGCTTGAGGAGTGCTGGGGTGATATTTTGGGAGCTGGTTCTGTTTTCGATCACGGTTGCTATGAGTGCATATCCATCTGGCGCAGGGCTCGGGGCTTTTCTGAGAGCCCTCATTTTCCATGCTGAGGTTTTGCTGCACGGTAGAATTAAGATACTGAGTTGTTGGGGTGGGGTTGATGTTTCGACGTTCCATTCAGGTCAAAGGCCTTTTTATAACACGCTAGCCATAGACCGTGCCAGCCCCCACCCCCCACCCCACCCCCCTTGGGCATGCAGAGGCACGTGTGACATAAGTACCACTTGGCTGAGGCTGCTGTCCTCGTGTCGCACGCACGCACGCACGCAGCTGGGCATGCCTTCAGCGCCCCCGTCTAAGCTTGTCTGTGGCATTTATTTTTTTGCACCCTAACCCAAAACCTTTAAGGAAGGGCTGCTACTACTGTCTCTGGATGGGAGCTTTTCTTTTCTTTTCTTTTCTTTTCTTTTTCTGAATCCTTGAATCTGCATTTGGTAACACTTAAAGCAGTCATATAAATACATAGATTCGTCAGTATAAGAATTATTGCATTGTCAAAGTATCTATATTGCGTTATAGATGAGGGCTTCATAAATCATTCATAATGCATAATGAACATAGCTATAATGTGTTATGCCTTTTTATAAATAGTTATAGCCATGTTTATAATACTTTATAAATGCATTATATTTGCATTATGAAGGTATCTACAGTATAATGCATTATATATGACTGCTTTTAGCTGTTACCCAGCACCCCCCCCCCCCTTCATCTATAGCTATAATCAGCAATAAACCAAGCTGTAAGAATCTCCTGAAGACCCCCACACTGGCATATTTAGCTTATGCCCACCATCGTGTGCTTTATAGCCTTTGATTTTGCACCCTGATTTTCGAGGACGTCCTAAGAGTGACTTTCATTGAGGACTACAGTAGCTGGATAATAACACAAGGGTGAGAAATGCCCCTTTGGAGCACGGCCAGGAAAAACTGGGCCTCTTCCAGCAGAAACAGAACTCTAACAATAAGCTTTGTCCAGACAGGTCCTTGTTTCTAAGCTTTGTCTGTGGCACGTCACAGATTTCGTACTGAAGTCGAGTTCAATTCACTGGAGACCTTCTGGCGCTACGTGCAGTATTTGTAATGCATGATTGATCACAGGGGTAGTCCCAAAAGTCAAAGGAAACTTATTTATCCATCAGGAAGAATGGAATAGATTTGTTTAGTGAGCTTTTAAATTGCCTTTCTGTGTGATTTGTTTTTCTTTTTGTAGTTCTTGATTAGTACAGCGTGGTTTCAGTGCAAATTTTAACTTTGAGCACTATTTACTCTGCACGAGATTTACCTCTGTGTTGAATAGTAGTCTCCGTGTAGTTCTGTATTGTATTGTGTGTAGCCTGTAGTATTTTTGTTTGTTTTGCACATTGAGCCAGGAGAAACACAATTTCGCTCTACCATGCACTCTCAAACTGTGTGGTCCGAATGACAATAAAGTTTACTTTGACTTTCGTTTCAGTGCTATAACCAGTCTTCAGAATAATAACAATTTAATCAGCTGTTTCACTTTTCACTTGCTAGCAGCTGCTCACATTTTTTTTTTATTAAAAAGCCTCTATATAATTAAACCTTATTTTCCTCAGTATATGATACCTTCAGTTATCAAAAATTCGCAATAAAAAAATTGTGTGTTTTTATTCGCAGATTGTCATACAGTTCATTTGTGGTGCAGCAGTTTTGAAATCTTTAGTTTGTGAGCAGCGTGAGAGTCGCCTGTTCAAATGTGTGTGTCGGCCGTCTTGACTGAAGGCAGTAGTTTAATGGCAGGTCCAAAGTGCCCAAAAATGATCACAGAGAATAAGGAGTAGATGGAATTTCTTGTAGGCTGCGTGCTATGTTAGGAATTCCTTGTCTGGGGTGTAGACCACTGCTATTTCTGCACTGTTGGGTTATAAGCACAGATATCCAAGTCAGTCCTTGTCCTTCTTATAGGGGAATTTCCCATCCCGGTAGGTCAGCTCCGTGGCTGTTTCCAGCAAGGTCAACTGCCAGACGTCATTCACAGCTTATCCAAATCTCTGCTGCCAAATCCCCTATAAACCTGTTGTTATTTCTGAATTACTCTGTGTGTGGAAGTAGGCTACTCATGTATAATTTGTGTCTCACTGTGATATCTGTCTCTGTTCCCTTTTGCCAGGTGTACCTAATTAACGTAACATATTCAGACTCCACCTCTCACATCATTTACCGAAGATACAGTAAATTCTTCGACCTCCAGGTAATTTCACTTGTTATTTTAATTATTTACTCTTGGATTTTGTATATTCTCCTAACTCTGTAAATGAACTTAGATTTAAGAAGGTTTATTTACTAAAATTAAGAGAGATAATGACCATCTTATGTGAATTAAACATTATAAATAGCAAAATAATCATTTAAAAGCTTGACTGATGTAAGTGCATATGAATTTGGATTAACCTTTGACATGTGATTTTCAGTTCAAAGGAAGTTCCTGATTTCAGTGACACTTAAATTTAGTATATAGTCCTTTATTGGGGTCAGAACACAGCAATGCGTTTCAGAGTGAACATTTACTGGTCTTTTTAAAGTGGCCTTTCATTGCATTCTTCTCCTTCAGACTGCTTCATGGGAGCTATTCATGGGAGCTGTTGTATTTTAGATGAAAATCTTGCCCTGCATTTCAGGTTGCCCCCTCCACATGTTTGGTGTGCCATCACGCGATGGGTTGGGAATGGGCTAGCTGTGTGTTTAGGTCTTCCCGCTCATCTCAGTGTGTTTGGGCAACTACCAAGGAAGAGCTGAATATCAATGGCTGCAGTGTGCCCCACAGGAAGTGACACGGAGGAAATGGAGGCTGAAAGGTCCCATTGATAACCAAAGAGGCCTCTGCTGAATATGTCACTTCTTAACTTCCAAAAAATAATGAAGCAGGGGAAAAATTGAGAAGCCAACACATAGGATTCCTTAGTCTGCTTCTAGCAATCATACTAGTACTCTGCTCTGTGAGACAATCCTTCGTTCCCTGCATTGCTCGAAGATTACTGTGTTTTAATAATATTAGCACATTTACTACATGGCCTATATGTCACACTTTTGATTATTTATGGGCAATATCCATATCCATTGGCCTTTTATTATCAGCATAATAAATGATAGTTTAGCCTGAGGCGGAGAAAATTTCATGGGAAAATATGTCATTGGTAGTTAATTCTCCTCACCCGGGCTTAAAAGGCTATGCCCTTGCTGTGAGCGAGTATTGACCTGGCACGGTTAAATATTCCACAGAGATGCTGTGCAGCTGCTCAATCATGACTCATTTGTAATGAAATATAAGTTATCTGAAGGCGTTTTATTGTTATTCTGGAGATGAAGGAACACGTTCAGCTGTTTCCACTTTGCTGTGGATTCCCTTGAAGACAATCTGCATAAACTCATTGTCCTCATTGTCCCTTATGCCTATTTTTTTATGAAGACAATGATAAAATATGCTATGAATGATGCAAATATTTTGATTATGCCTATGCACATGATTTTTAATTTTCAACCAATTAAGATAGTCAGGCACTGTACAATTAATCAAGTAATGTTTCCAGGCACCGTTCATATTTGTCGTCTTCCACAATGTGCTTCCATCATCTATTTCTACAAAATTGAATAAAACTTAAGATAGCTATATATTTAGGATACCTATAAATACCTCCATAAGGCAATAATTCTTATACCGACCATTATAATGCATTATGAAGGTATCTATAATGCATTTATATGACTGCTTTAAGTTTCGGCTGTTAGTTAACCATCTTCTTTACAAATATTTTCTGAAATAACAAGCTAGATTCATTGCATTTTGGCAAATTCATGAGGGAATCATGCACATGCTTGGAGGCAAAGATGTACAGTGTGTAAAAATAATGAATAATAATAATAACAATAATAATAATAAATATAAATGCTGCTAGATCGCAGTGTGGAAGAAAGTCTTCTTTTTGACATTTAAATACATGAAAATGAGGTTGTTGGTGATTAAGAGACATGCTCATATGCATTATGATCCCTGTTAGTAGGTCCATCAAGCCTGCATCTTACAAACATTCTGTGAAAATGGTCCTTAAGGCCCAAGAGGTGTTAGAGTAGGCTCATGGCTGTAGAGGCTGATAAATGCTGATGACTTGCCCAGGATCATTTCCAAGAGCTTGAGAAATAATGTTGTGGTTGCTGGCACTTTGGAGCCCGTCTGTGAATGTTTTTTTTCTGTCAGGCACGTTTTTGGCTACCTATGGTTGTCTTGCAAAGACGATGAGTAATGTCCCCCCACGTGAACAAGGTGAATTTGACAGTACCTCCACCTCATTTTTTACGAGAAGAGCAACGAAACATGGGGTTTTAAATGCAGGATATCTGACCTCAGTTTGAGGCTTTAGGCTTTCAGACTCCGTCAACAATAAATGTGTTTTGCGTTTTTTTGGAATTACCTGTAATGTAAGCCCTGTGTACTGAGGTTCATGTTTTACTACTCTTGTATGTCTGTGCTGAGATGCTGCCTTGGTATCACCAGTTTGTGATGTGAATTTGGGACATTATAATGAAGGCGAATCCATCACCGTAACCACTTAATCCCAGTCAGGGTCGCGGGGGTGGGGGGGGGGGCGGGGGGACCGGAGCCCATCCTGGGAACAATGGGGGCAGGCAGGAACCAACCCTGGACAGTCACCAACACACCGCAGGGCGCACACAAACACACACACACTATTACAGGGCCAATTTAAAGTCGCCAATCAACCTTTTGGACTGTGGGAGGAAACTGGAGCAGAAACCCACGCAAACAGTGTGCAAACTCCACACAGAAAGGACCCAGGACCGAACCCAGGACCTTCTTCCTGTGAGGCAGCAGCAGCACTAACCACTGCACCACCTTGTTGCTCTTAAGGCACATTATTTTTTGCTTTTATCCGGGGAATTTTTTTTGTTTTTATGGTAACACAGAAGTTGACCAAGCCATTTTTTAATTTAGCTGCTGCTTTTGTCCAAAGTACTGTATAATCCAGGCAGAGGGTACATCACAAGCAGATTGCTGTCGAGATGTCACCTTGAGTACAAGTGCTGCTCGGTTGAGTTTCCAGTGAGTGACCAGTAACGAGCGGAAGTTGCAGCAAGAGCCATACAAAACATCGTTAGAAACTCACATGGGAAAAGCTAGCCAAAAACAAAACACAGTCAGGAGTCAGGACTGTACAAAATACAAGAAAAGAGTATGTAGTGTAGCCAACCGAGATGATGACAATGGAATAGTTGAAGAAGAGAGAGAACAGGTCTGTGGTAGGATGAGTTTGTTGAGGTGTTCTGGAAGAGGTGGCTCTTGAGAATTTTCTTGAAGATCATGAGGTGTTCTTCTGAACAGATACAGGTAGGTATCTCATTCCACTGCTGAGGAACCACACAGGAGAAACGTTTAGCATTTTTCTCGTGGTGGAGGGATCACATGGTGATGGTCGCTTGCTGACTGTAGAGAGTGAGATGGGATGTAAGTCCTAATGAGCAACAAAATATAGGTAGGTGCCATTCCATTAACAGCTCTTAATGCAAGCAACGAGGACTTGAACTAGAACCAAGGAAAGGAGATTTGGATGGTGTAACGTGAGAGCATTTCAGCTGATTGAATACTGTGCATTCTGCTGCATTGAATACCAGAAATGCTGTTGCATTGAATACCAGACCTGCTTCTGAATCATCTGTAGTGGATTTGCAGCACATGCTAGTAATCCAGTCAATAAAGAGTTACAGTAGTCTAGCTGTGGGATGACAAGTACCTGGAGAAGCAGTTGAACTACACACACTGATAAAAAATGGTTTGATCTCCTTGATGTTATACAAAGTAAATCTAAAAGATCCACAGATAGATGCGATGTAATCCGAGATGGGTAGCTGATCGACTCACATTACACCTATGTTCCTAGCAAACCCCTGACGGAGACAATGTTAATGATTCAAGCTGACAAGTGATGTCAAGATGAAAGTTAATGCTGGAAGGGAATACAAGAAGCTCTGTCTTTGAGTGGTTCAGCTGGATGTAGCAATCTAGGCTACGACGTCTGCCAGGAAAACCGAAATCCGAGACTGTAGTATCCTTTGGAAGGAAGGTCAGGTGCAGTAGTGGTAGGAGAAGCCATGTGACTGACTGACAGTGTATTGAGCGAGGAGGAGGAGTCTAAGAACTGAGCCTTGAGGCACACCAGTTGTTTCCTGATTTGAATCAGTAACCTGTTGGGCCTTAGATGATGGAGTGGATCTGGTGGTTCGTTTTGTCAAAGGCTGCAGATGGGTCTAGGTTGAGAACAGAGGACTGAGATTCAGATTGCAAGGTGTCGACTAATCGGGGGGCACTGTGGAGTGTCCCGCTTAGGGGCCAGACAGATGAGGATCCAGAAGGTGATTCTGTTATTGCAGACAACCTGCTCCCCCAAAACAGGCAATCATGTGTCTGCAACTGAATACATACTGCATGCAGACATAGTCAAAAGCTTCAGTGGTGTATAGGGGAGCTTCTTTGAACATATAACTCATCTACCCTTGCAACAGCTCTGGAGGCAAAAGCAGTTCATATGCACGACTAGTGAGATATATACATAATGAAATGGCCACTGAATTCAGACCCTCAACAGAGATGTACATTTTTTAATGAGCACTTGATTCTGGTTACCTGGATTTGTTTAATGCTTTAGTACAGAAAGTACACAGCATTTGCTTCTTCTCCAGTAAGTCTCCATCAGCTTTTTGGGTAACCTTTGAAATGATCCTTTGTCTGTCATATGGAGAGTTTGGAATAATGCGATCATCTGTCCATCTTACTGAACTTTCGTTTGAGGCCGCTGGATACCCAGGTTCTGTACTATTTTGAACCTGGCAACCCACTGTCAAGGTCCCCCCCCCCCTCCCCGCTCTCCTGGGAAAGCAGCAGCTGAAGCAAATGAGGGGTGAAGCCTTTGGACGAGGGAAACTGCTGGAGTGTCAAATTGCTGGATGACTGAAATGAGACGATCCCTCAGAACTGAGTCATTTTTTATTTGTGTCTTCTTTCATCGCATCTTATTTCAACCGACTTTGATTACCCAAGCATGATGTACAGGCAGCCCCTGGGTTAAGAACCTCTGACTTACAGACAACTTGTACTTACCAATGGACTGCCATAAAGTGTATTATATTAAACATTTGTGTTAAATACAGGTACTACTTTGTGACGCTCGTGAAAACATTGCATGG